AAGAAAGAATATACTATTTTTATTGAAAACTGTGTGTAAAATAAATAATATTCATTTTTATTTGAAATGCTAAAAAAATAAATAATTAAATAAAAAATATTTTGAAATTAGTTTGAGAATAATAAATAATTGAATATAATATTTATTGTATATAAATAACTATAGAATGTAATATTTTAAATAATTATAAATATTTTATATAAAGAATAATAAGTTTTAGCTATAATTCATTTATTTTTAAATATATTATATGCCAGGCCAATTTTGAGCATGGATTGCCTGATCTATGCTCAGGACCCAAAAATTTTTAAAGCGTCTTAGATGCTCTTTTCAAGATATATATATATACTATTAATATTAGTTATGTGTATAATAGTAAAAATTGTTATACGTGAAATTTTTGTCGATGCCGACCTAATAAATTTAGGTCTGTCGAAATTGACTTAAATTGGATTTTTCGGTCTATTTAAGAAAGTATCCGGACAAGTCTTGCAACAAAATTGAACGCACGAATAGATCCAGGTGATGCCAAATGCGATTAACAAGTTCAGACCTGATTTGATGTAATGAAATCCAATACAAAAAGACTACGAACTTGTATTAATTTAGAAAGATAAAGAAAATAAAATGTAAAGGAACAAAGTGTAGGAATAAAAATAAACTACAAAAACAAGAAGAATTAAGAAAATAAGAAACTCCTTTTTTTTTTTTTTTTTTTTTTTTAATAACATGAGAATCTGCAACTGCTATCCAAAATTGCGCACTGGGTAAACCTCCAGTCAAACCTAATAACTAGATCCGACAAGAAAGTCACACTAGGCTAATCATGTGTGGCAGGTGACCTAAGGCGTCGGGGATTTAAACTCAGGACCTCACGGTCACACGTCCAACCCCTACACTACCAAGTCATCTCCGTGCCGGCCTCCTCTCTTCATTCTTCTTCTTGTATTTATACTTTTATTTTGTGTAACTTCCCACAATATCCATCATTTTAACTGCCCACAACTTTATCTCACTTATTTTTCAACTTTCCAACTTTCTCCAATATTTTTCTTATCAAAATTAGATTTTACTTCATCCGTAGACAATCCTGGGCCGGATGGATCCTCCGGGTTGGGTCATCTCTCTTTATTGGGGCTGAAAATTAGGGAGTAACAATTGCCCCCACAAAAATATTTGGGTGAGAAATTTACGTAAAATATCAAACTTTAAAGCCCAATATTTTTGTATGAGGTTTCGGCGGTACCTCAGCTCTAGCTTTATATGCCCTTATCTAGAAGCGGCAGAGGGCTGGTCCCGGTCATCTCAGGGTCAGAATCGTTGGGGAGTGCGGCGATTGGGATTAAAGATTCTCGATTTTCTTGGTAAAAATCCAACTACCTCGACCTTGAAGTCATCTTCGTACTGTAAGGCTCGCTCCAAGTCTCGATCATTGGCTATGATGTCAAGATTGTTTTATGAAATTCTATCATCTTCGAAAGTCCTAATCATAGGTTCGTCCTCCGTATCTAGAGCTTTTGGATCCTTTGAAGGAGGTTGTTCATCCGAGACAACTTTGTTGTCTGAAATCACTCGTTTTGGCCTCTACTCCTATCGGATCTAGCGTGGACATCGCAAACCACTATTTTCTGACACATTTTTATTCTGATTCATCTGTGTATGGCCTGCTCGAAGTTCACTTCCTTGCTATCCCATCTTCTTTTGACCGGAACTAGTTGTCTAGTACCGATGTTGCTTCCTTCGTCTTTGCGCTCTTGTCTTCTTCTTCCTCAGGTCGCATGTCCGATGCTCATCTCTTGCAGGCTGCTCGTAACGCCGCATCGGATGATATATTATTACCACTTGGTCCACTGAGGTCACCCTTCATATATCTCCATTTTTTTGAAAATGGATTTCCGCAAATGTGTCGCTATGGTTCCTCTAATTTTCGTTGGCCCTTGCTGCTGATGGATAAGATTTCATTAAGCGTAGTCCAATGGTATTGATCGGAACATGAGAGAGTTGGATGGTCACGGAGGTCCGATCAGATCCTTTATTGACATAAAAATTTCCTTCGTGCGCATGCGATGAATGATCTTTGCCACTGACATTTCGTAAGAGCTGTTCCGCCTTGGCCGCCTTTGCGAAAAGCTGTCGGAAATTATTATACCTTTGAAGGGACAATTCGTCAGGAAGTTAAGGTGTCATATTGTCGACCTCCATGTTGACGACTTGGTTTTTGGGTATCCACACCTGACATCGACCGCCCTGTGAAAATTTTTCAAAAAACTTCCTACTGACTAATCATATTTTTGTTATAGGTTACTTAAGTTGGATACTGTCACTTCCGGAAGCCAGATGAAAACCGCTCGTGGAATGCCCTTCTAGGACTCCCCTTGTATGAAATGAATTAGGAAGGAGAGATGCATACCATGTGAAGACTGGTCCGGTGAAGGATAACAAAAATAGTTAGAGCTTCTTGTAATACCCCCGAAGTTGGGCTAGTGCTAGGCCAACCGTGGATGAGCCAATGCCAGACCATCCAAGATTGCATATAGGTTAAATTTATTGAATATACTACTCATGTCAACAATGTGCACATTCTTTTTCGGGAGCCTTATTGAAAGAATTCTAGAGTTAAGCGTGCTTGCTAGAGTAATTTGAAGATGGGTGACCCCTTGGAAAATCTCCCAAGGTGCGTGTGAATGAAGACAGAAGCGCGCTCGTGTTGACCTGTGGGGCCAGGCTTCATTGCACCGTGAACGTTTATTTAACGTAATCTGATTTATAAATATTTACATAAATATGCTCCTAAACTAGAAGGTTTCTCTGGTCAAAAATTCGCTCACTCAGTCTGTCTTTCTATATCTCGAGACATCCTCTGTCCCACACGTGCCATGTATACCTGAATATAATATTTTTTAAAAGCAGTCTAGAATTAAATTCATTTTAAAAACTAACATAAAATATGTCATGATATACTTTTTAAAATGAAGTCTAACTCTCATCAATCACAAAATACGTGTCATGCCATGTCAATAGTGAAATAATGCAATAAAGGTATCGAACTTGACAACCATGCACATACATATATATGCATCCGTTGAAATGAGCAGCCAGAATAACTTCGGCTCCATAATAATAGACTCACTGCATCTGTCTAAATGAGTAGCCGGAATAATCTCGACTCCACAATAACAAACTCACTAGACTATCATCAATAAATAGCCAGAAAACTCTCGGCTTAAGGAAGGGTCTGATAAACCCATAATAATATAACGGTCACCCGGTCACTTCTATATACTCACCATACGACTCAATATATGGATAGCCGAACATTGTCGCTGTGATAGCGAATATAGGACCTTCCTGTCTAGCCCTACCTCGTGTAATGTAGTAGAATCCGTGCAACCTTGAATCACCTAAGGGAAACCTAGAAACTCTACTCCTCTTCATGCGCCCTAACGGGATCATGTTTGGAGTTTGACATATGATCCTAAACTACCGATAGACCTAACTAGTAGCTGCTCTAATGAGTGGAACAACACCAAACACGAATGATTAGACAAAACACGTCTCAACTACAATGGGTCTAATCCCTGAATGACCGTGCTACTAAGTCATCCAATTGTCCGATTACTATCGTCCACTATCACAATGTGTTACGGTACATCAGGATCGAATATCCTAAACCCAGATGATGTCCTCGCCTAGCACTACCAATCACAACGACTAAACGATAGATTCATAAAATATATCCGATAAATTATGCAATATGTATGTAACATGTCAAATAAATGGATTTACCGAAAAGGGCCGGTGAAACAGCTCATATTTCCTCATTTTCAAAAATTCACCAACGCGATCAAATATGTATATCAAATATCATAAAATGTGAATTCTCACACATGCATATGCACACATAATAGCCATTAATATTATAATTGTAATCGCACGTAACATGTATACTTAATTTCCTTAAATTAAATTTAATTTTCTATTGTTTACCTCTTATCAAACTCTTTGGTTTTTGCAATCTCACCCAAATTTCCTCCAACGTACATTTGTCTCATTATTTATTCAAACCAAATAAGCTATATACTTATCCATAGGAGCTACGTGCTTATTAAAATTAATTTTTATAATTAGCTCATCGAGCTTCAAATTTTTATTTAGTACAATACTATATTCTAACTATAAAACTCTTATACTCTGATATCCAAATTCATATTAAAATTTATAATTAAAGTCTACCTGCACTGTTTTTTTTTCATTCTTTCTTTCCTCCCTTCTTCTCACGTACTTCCTTCCGTTCGAAGTAATGGGTTGATTTGTTGTTCGATAAGTATTATATATATATTATTATTATTATTATCACCATCGCTCACCATCATAATCTATTTTATTATTATATTATTTTATATTATATTATATTTACTTTTATCGATATTTATTTGTTTAACAATTTTTTAATTATAATTAACATATAAAATAAAAATAAAAATTTAATTCAAAATATTAATTTCATTGAACTGAACCGTCGAATCGAACCGAATTTTTGGTTAATCGAACAAATTCGATTCGAATACAAATACTACATATTTAATATTTGTTTGGTTCGATTCGGTTTCGGCTTTTGATATTTTTTCGTTCCGGTTAACTGAACCGAATATTTATATTATTATATTTTAAATTTATATTAATAATTATATTCGGTTGGGTTTCGGTTCGGATATTTCAAATATTTACAAATATTTTTATTTAATTAGAATTTTAATTATTTTTTAATATATATTTTTTAATTTCGATTCGGTTCGAATTATTCACAAATATTTTCGATTGATCAAAAATTTGCTTAACCAAAATTTTCGATTCGAATACGATTTACAATTTCGAATATTAGTTCGATTCGATTAAAATATCAAATATCTACATATTTACAAATATTTTAACATTGTCACCCATATATATATATCTTACAAAGTGAGAGTGGAACTGTAGAAAATATTAAATAAAATAAAATGGCATCATCATCAGGCTCCATGGTTTCTTCCCTAACCTCTCTAAGGTAATAGTCTTTTCAAATATATCTATCCTCGAAACTTCTCATCTCATTGATTCTTCAATTTAATTTCAGGTTATCCGGCAAGGTTGCATTAGTAACCGGCGGCGCCGGCGGCATCGGCGAGGCCATCGTTCGCTACTTCGTCGCGCACGGCGCTAAAGCATGCGTAGTCGACATCCAAGACAACCTTGGCCGACGCCTCTGCAACGAACTATGCGTCGGCAGTCCGGACAGCGCATTCTACCGTCACTGCAACGTCACCGTCGAAGACGAAGTGAGGCGAGCCGTCGATCTCAACGTCGACAAGTTCGGGAAGTTGGACATAATGGTGAACAACGCCGGAAAATTAGACCGGCCGCCGGTTCCGGACATCCGAGATGTTGAGTTCTCGGCGTTCAACCGGATACTCGACGTGAACATCGGGGGCGTCTTCCTCGGGATGAAGCACGCAGCTCGGGCGATGATCCCGTCGAGACGAGGCTCGATAGTTTCGCTTTGTAGCATGTCGGGATTGGTCGGCGGTGTTACGCCGCATGCATACACGTGCTCGAAAGCACGCGGTTCTCGGGCTAACCAAGAACGTCGCGGCCGAGTTAGGGCAACATGGTATACGGGTGAATTGTGTCACCCCTTTCGCCATTCCAACGCACTTGTCCGTGTTTACGGACACGGACGAAGTTGACGAGAAAGCGCTGGCGGGGTTTCATAGTCTCGTAGAGAGTGCGGCGAATTTGAAGGGTGTCGAGACCGGCGTTGAAGACGTCGCCAATGCCATCGTGTTCTTGTGTAGCGACGAGGCGAGGTATGTGAGCGGCACAAATCTCGTCCTCGACGGTGGCTTCACGGCGGTTAACCACTCGTTCCGATTTTTCCGGTGAATCGGCGGATCGCATTATCTGTTTCATTAATACATATACATCACATGTGTATGTATAAATATTATTTGTGTGAGGATAGAGGGATAAAATTTATTTTTCCACTGAGGATCCCATGGAGTGAATTGGAGATTAAAGGAGCAACAATGATAGGGATATGAAAGGAAAAATAAATAGTATATTGTAAAGATGTATAAATATAATACAATTGCTTTGTTTGATTTTAGACTCAACTCAAAATTAATATATTTTTTCTGATGACCTATTAATATAAAATTAATATCACTGTTTAGATATAGTAAATTAGTAAATTATTAATAATAAATTATTATATTATTTATTATTTTTTTATATGAGTAGTATTATTTGATATTTTAAAATTATAACTAATATATTTATAATTAAAAGAAATTTAGAATGTATTTAAATATTTTTATAATATATATACTATGGATATCGATAATTAAATTTTATATAATACAAATAAATAAATAAATAAATAATGTATATTTATTTATAATTAACTTAATTAGTTTTTATAAAAATAAAGAATTTTAAATATTGATAAAAATATTTATTTATTAAAAAGAAATAAAAATAAATAGATTTTAAGTGAGTACAATGTATAAATGTATATATATGTGAGAACTTGCATTAATTTTAAAATTAATATCATATTATTTTTTATACTTTTAGAACATAAATATTATATTATTTATTTATTATTTAAATTAATTAAAATCATACACAATAATTTTTTATTTGTTATATTTATATTTTTTCTTTCTTTTGAAGAACGATTTATTTTATTTAACAGCTCTCCGTGTGTATGCATATTATAATAGTTAGTCTGGTCGAAATGGTCGAAGCCCACCTCAAGTGTGGCGTTGGCTAGCAGTTCCTTTCACTGTCATTGCTCCAGAAAATGGTAATTTCAAAATCAAAATAAAATTTTTATCCCTAATTTTTAAAGTCAAATTCTTAAAATCGCCATAACCAATTAACCTCGAATCTCCAATTTCTGCAAATTCAGAATAAAGCGCGTTTCCCGTTGTTGACTGTTGTCGCATATCAACTTTATTGTTTCAAGTATACGCGGTGTATTGATATATGTTATATATGATAAGTATTTTATTATATTTTTGGGTGACTTTTGAGTGGGAATTTTGTATTCATGGTGTATTTTTTATTATGTAATAGGATTTGTGGAGTTGATATAATCTTGGACATATGGTGGACAAAAGGAACATAATGCAGGAAAGTCTTAGACGTGATCATGCTTAAGGACAACAGAGTGAGAAGTGATAAATTAAAAAGAGGTCCTCTTGGGTAAATTAACAATATAGAGATTGTTTGATATTTAATTGCAAAGACGACTTTGACTTGAAGATTAAGAAGACACGATGTGCAATTGAAGAGAGAGAGAGAGAAACACACAATCACGTTCAACCTATGACACCAATCTTTGGAGGGAGAACAAGAAGCGACCAAGAACACTGTGCGGAGCAGAGAACTCTTGGGAGCGGTGCAGGCAGACTTTGAGGGGATTTTTTCTTTATTCTTAGAATTGATTTGTTGTCGATTCTCGAAAATTGAAGACATTATGAACTCTTATTTTGCTTTGTATTTTCGATTTTCATGGATTGTGAGTAATCTATTTTCTACCTTAGATATAAATTGTTGAAATATAAAAATTTGTTAATCGGTCGTAATCAAGGTTGTTGGTTTATGGGATAAATTGGCTATAGTTGATCTACACGTGTTCATAACCAACATTTTCTTATTTTATCGATAGCTAAGGTATGACCGTTAACTATTTCTCTAATCGAATGAGAATCTTCGGTACGATCGTAGTATTACTGACTCGACAGCATTGAGAACTAGAAAGACCTAATTCAATTTAACCAAATTTCTACAAGGATTTATTCAAAATTAAAGTTAATTCCTCCCTAGAGTATTTTGCATCTAGGTTGATACTCCAATTAAAATATTACACAATTCCGGGTGTCAACCCTTAATATAGCTATGAAATTTCAAACTAATACGTAGCCACAAATCGTGCAAGAGTTGGATCCCCCTCCTACTACCCCCACCAATGCGAGCGTCGTCGGTCCATCCATGAGTGGCTGGTCGCCTCCACCTATTCCACGGAAGTTTATTTTTTCCGTCTCTTTTGTATCACCTTTATTTCTGCAATAGAGACATTGCATGAATTAGGTGGGGGGTGGAGATTAGAACTGATGATGCTATATAATGCTTTATTACGATGCACTTTCCTACATGTCCTCTTGTATATTGTGAGTTGAGGTTGTTGTACTTAATTTATTACGATCTTTCCGTGTTTGTTGATGAAGTTAAATAATGCGTACGCTTAGCCTTTTGACAAAGAACCCTTAATTGAGTTTTTTTTAGCTTTATTTGACCAAATTCATTACATACATATCATACATGCTCAATTTTATTTTATTTTTTTATTGTGTGAACATATGTTGTATTTGACTACCTAGAACTTGTTTGTTTATTGCTTATTGATTCCGCATTTATTGAGAATTGATAAGATTAAAATGACAAGGCACTAAGATTACCCTTATTATCCTTAATTAAGTACCTTCACCCATATTATCCCATAGTGAACTAAGTTTGAGCTTAATGTTATTTTTCTATTTTTCTTCATGTTTAACCCCGAGCCTATAAGCCTTTTTTTTGGATTGAGCTGAACATTTTTTGGATTGAGCTGAACATTTATTTGAACCCATGGGAACTTGAAGGATTGTTCTTTAATTCATTACACTAGATTCTTTAGAGTTGCATTCAATATACGATATTATTTCGGAGTTGCATTTGAAGTATTCATATTGTGGCACAGTTATAAATTCATATACATTTTTGTCAAAAGTATCTCATTATCTAGCCTCTAGAAGAAGAAAAGAAAAAAGGGCTGGAAAAAAAAAGGAAAAGAAAAGAAAAATATTCCGAGTCCTAAAAAAAAGAAAAAAAAAAAAGGACTCGTGAAAAGAAGAAAGTATGTTCTATTGTCTTGTGTTGATCAACACTTGTGAAGTATTGTGTTGTTCTTGTTCATTTATGTGTGCGACTTGCGTTCATTATAATATGATAAAAATTGATGATTAATTCATCGGTCCCATTAGCCATTGATATCCTCTTTCCTACCTCAATCATGGTCCCATTACAACCTTTAATTAAGACATTTTATTATGAAAGTTAATTTCTTGATGAATTGTGGAGTTGATTTGATTTCCTTGCAAGCCTATGGAATTCATCGTTTACTTCATATGCATTGAGTGAACATAGCCTAAACACTTGAGGGTGAGAGCCTACCCTACTTTATATACATTTCCACTCACTTGAAATTTAGAAACCATATCTCACACAACAACTAATTTGGCCGCTTTCCCTACGTATTTGCAAATTTTGAGCAATCAATCAATAATTAAAATGGCGTAATATATGATGAAGCATGATTTGAAATCCAATTTTTTAAAGAAAAAAAATGGAAATTGGACTGAATCGGCCGATCATCATAGAGTGGGAAAGAAAGAAAGGAAGAAAAAAAAGATCGGCCGAATCGGCCAGGGGAGGGAAAGATCGACCAAATCAAGAAGGAGAGAAAGAGAAAGATTGACCAATAGGGAAAGGAAGATCGAGGGAATGACCATATTTTCTGCAATCGATGCTTGATTTGATAATAGCGGAATCAATAATCGTTCCTCCGTCTATACTATAGTCGTGAGAGGGTGAGGGAGAGAAAGAGAATGATGGTTTTGCTGACCAAATTGGGAAAGGAAGAGAAAAAGAAAGAGTATGCTGACCGAATTGATTGGGAGATGAAAGAAATAGAAAGGTGGTTTTGACCGAATTTGGAAGAAAAAATGAATAAAAAGATTTTTGTTTTTTTGACCGAATTGGTTGAGAGAATGAGATAAGCAGAGAAAAGATTGTTATCAATATTGTCAATAATATAATATCAATTGTATGGTTCCCTAAGTTTTTTAAAAAAATTTAAAAATATCTTTTGAAATTAAGTATATTATTATAGTATATTTATTATGAATATCTAATATAAAATGATTTTACTAAAAAATCAAAAATGAATAAAAAAAAAGTTAAATTGATATGAATTTCATTTTTAGTTAAAGAAAATGGATTAAACGCTGAAAACTTAAATTCAGCATATATGCTAAAGGCTTAAAATTTGTATTTTTAATTTATATAATTAAATAATATAATTATACTTTAATTATTTTTAAGACAATAAAGTATCTAAATAATATCAAAGAAAGTCATTACAACCTACTAACAGCATAATAGACTTTATAGGTAGTCATTCGTACTACTCTTTCGTGTGTGTGTGTATATATATATATATATATGTGTGTGTTTTTATATGTAAATAAAATCTAAATAAACAAAAATCCTACGTAATAATCAATGATATAAATAGATGCTGATGTGATGTTTTGAATGTAAAATTGATTTTTAGTTTAATATTAAAAATAAAAAAAAAAGTGTTTGATTTGATGTTTTTAAGAAAAAAAAAAATGAGATGAATAGTGGAAATCTAATCCAATCCCCAAACAAACACACTCTAAATATTAGCTGTGTTATTTATTAAAATAAAATAAAATAATATTTTGCGTATATTTGAAGAGACGAGAAAATTATTTAACATTGTTCGGTATTATTCATTGCATTATCTTATCTAATATATCAACTATAACATTGGTAGGTAGGACAAAAAATTAGATAATATTGAGTGACTAATTGTGTTTATGATTATATTTTTAAATAAATATATAATTAATATTAATTAACCAATTTATAATCTTTTAGTTTAAAAATCATTTTTATGAAAAACAATATATTTAATAACTTATTAAAAAATAATATATAAAAATTGAGTGTGTGTTTGTTAACATTACGATCGATTTAAAATTTTTTATTTATTTTTCTTTAATAGAAAAGTATATTTGTAGTACAAATTCTAAATACTTTATTTTTTTATAAAATTCATTTATATTAATCATAAATAAAAATTTATATTTTTATATATTTATATTATATAAAATTCATACTTTGTATTATATTCATACTATATATTTTTATTATAATATATATATATTTTTTTTTAATCATATATATTACATTATAAATAACATATTAATTAAATAAATTATATTCATAAGAAATCAAATCATATTTTTTTATAATTAATATATTATATCCAAAATTATTTTCATTCAAAAACATGGTATCAAATATATGTTTATATTTACATATCGATAGTTAGTTAAATTAAAAAATTAAGGATTTGTTTGAAAGTGTTTTAGTTTGAAATATTTTTCATGTGAGTTAAAAAAAAAATTATAATGATAATATAAAAAATAATATTTATGGTGAATATTAATTATTTTTAGAGAACCCATGACCGACTTTTGAAGTGTAAACATCCTGCCGAACCTAATACCCTGCAAACCAGGCTCGGACCTCACGGTCACAAGTCCAATTCTTTATTACAAGTAGTTAATAGGCCAACTATTTTGTATGTTTTGAATAGTGCATGCTTTAATATTAGTATGCTACATTCAATTTTACGAAGGCTCTAATATTGAATCATGTTTTATTTATTCATTCTCAAAAAATGATATTCCACATTCAAGAAAAGCCTGCCAAAGAAGTATCTCAGCACAAGTAAGGACATTGTTAATCATGCTGATATGTATATATATTTGAATGGAATAAATTACAACCAAACTTGCAATTATTTGGGTTTTGTTTATATTTTTATTTTTTTAAGATATAAATTATAAATACAAAATCAAATAAATGGCTTCTTTTGATAAGTTCAAAAAAAATTTAGTTTAAATTTAATATTAAAATAATATATAATGAGATATTTTATAAAGAAAAAAATATATTTTTTCAAAAAATACAAAGTAGAAACAGTAAAACCTAAAGGTTTATGACTAAAGAAACAAACTCTTAATTACCCATCCTTTTCATATGCATATATATTTATATATATATATATATATATTACATGTAGATTGGAAAATTAGAGGAACAAATACTATGGCATCAACAGACTCCACGCCCTTTGTTTCTTCTTTAACCTCCCAAAGGTAAAAATAATCTATCTTTTCAATAAATTTATCCTCGAGCATATACACACACCCCTACCTGAATTGATTCATGTTTACTTACCTTTCAATTTTCAGGTTATCCGGCAAGGTTGCATTAGTAACCGGCATCGGCGAGGCCATCACGGCGCTAAAGTATGCGCATAGTCGACATTCAAGACAACCTCGGCCAACACCTCTGCGACAAACTATGCGCCTGCAGCGCAGTCTACCATCACTGCAACGTAACTGTTGAAGATGAGGTGAGGCAAGCTGTCGATTGCACCGTCAAGAAGTTCGGGAAGCTGGACATAATGGCAATCTAGGAGAGGCTCTAGCAATGAATAAACACTGCACATTTTGTCTACATTAGTCGAGGACTATAAACTAAAACGAACGATTTTATCGTCATTCAAATATATATGAAACAGTCGAAAAGAAGCAAGAAGAAAATGGAACACAAGGACAGTGAGATACTGCTGCTGTAAAACCTGAGACCTCGAGCACGACTTTGATATCAAAATGCCACATCGTGTGGGCAAATGCAGTGCTCAAATCAAAATAAGTTTATGGGAAGAATGCCGGGGTTATAGAAGCATTGGCATGATCTATTTCTATCTAATCTACAGCTCAATCGCATTGTCCTTATTTCCGCCCTGTGTCATTCTCATCTGTTCGAGTTGCCGGTTCAATGCACTTATCTGGTTGTATAGTTTCTCTCCCTTGTCAGGCAGTTTGGAGACAGCAGCCTGCAACCATTGTATTCATGAATGTTGATCCAAATTGCAGAAATGAAAGTGTATATGTAACTGAATCACACTTGTAGTAGTGAAAAATGGTTCAACATTTAGATGGATGCTGGATTCGGTAAATGTTCGTATCAATCTAATATGAAACCAACAAATTGAAGTTAGCGATAACATTATTTGGCTCTTGAAGATCCATAGCGATCAAAACATGTAAGCTCATAAGCATTATTCATTGCCATATAACAATCTTTCACCTCATGAATATTTCACAGTGTTCAAGAGAGAACTAATAAGTTTGAGCTTTCAATAAGTAAGCCTATTACTTCAATGCTTTTGTTAGGCTAGCCTACTAAAGGATCATGTAGATTTCCTTAGCGATGAAAACGAGCAATCTGAAGGTAATAATCAGTTTCAAGAATGCTTACCTTATTAGCAAAGATATGAGACAAACGAGTAATCCGCTCTCTAATTTCAGCTTCTGATGGTTTCCGGACAACAGGATTTGGGTTTCTCTGTACTTTGTTCACAACATCCTTGGGGTTAAATGCATATTGTGCTCTGCCATATATAAAACTTTTTTCTGTCACACCGAACAATCATTAAGAAATTATGAGTGAAAAAGCAATGCAGCCTTTAAATCAACAGCAATACCCCTCAACATCTTGTTCACGAGATGGTCGCCAAGGTGCATTCCCCATAAACACATTCGCTCTTGGCCTGTGAACGAAACAATGAGATAAATCATATCATTCGAAGACACAAATATTCCAGTGCGTTTACAAGGCAATGAGGATAACATAACAGCAGCCATATATGATAAACATTTTGAAGGTGAAATACAGTAATACAACATTTCCGTATCAACTTCCTCAGGAATCAAAATTTAAATCCAAAAACCAATAATTGGACATTTGAAATCGACTAGTTTAAATAAAGTACATCACCTTCTCACTTCCTCCTCTATCTCCACTGCTTGTGCAGGTGCCGCCTTAGAGAACAGTAAGCTATGCTGGCTAACTCCAGCTATGTTGAGAGTTTCAAGGAATTTTACATGATCTCTGAGAGACTCGTCCCTGGATGAAACAATTACAAACTTGGGGATCAGAATAAACAACATAATTATTGTGAAAATACAAAATTAACAGTAACAGCATTGGATTGTACAGTTACTTTATAAAGTATCACATAAAAGAGAATGCCTAATAAGTTCGTTACATTGTATGTTCCTGATCATGCTCTTCCAGCAGCTGCTGTTGAGTCAGAGAAACATCAAACCCTTGTTTTGGCAAACTGAAAAGATCTTTCAGATCCTGAAATTTCATGCTCAACAATTGTGTCAACAATAACATTACATGGGAAACAAATAATTTCATACGCCATCAGTATAAATGTTCTTGACTGTTGGGCATAACAAGGTATTAGAAAATATAAAAAAGTGATAAAAGGCAAGGAACATAATACACATTTATCAAATGATGTAGCATTGTACTTTTCCTCAAGCAATTATATCTAGTAATTTGTAGTTTGTTTGATTCAAGGACTAATTTACTAATAACATGCATGTCCAACTTCCGGGTTAACAAGTATGTTGTTGATGGACTTTGAATTTCCACAAACCACAATATTCCTAAATATATAGAAAACACATTTCTTTATGTTCACCATTCTAGCGAAACAAGTACCTGTTGGCTAAAGTACCGAATCTGTTCTTTATGTTCAGTTGCACTTCTGAATAATCCTCCTTTGAACACCTGAATTGCAATTTTGAAAATTTTATGCATGCACCAATGAGCGCTCAAACTCAACGAGTAACAAAATGGGTAGTAAAGGCATTCAGTAAAATGCTTGTGCAATGAATGACAAATTGGATCAGGATCTAAATCGGAACTCCAGCGTCAATCAGAAGCTCATAATTTCAGCCGGTTGGTTTCTGTAGGCTTTTATCTTGGAATTCCAAAACGCCATCTCTATTGTTCATCAAAGTGAATTCTAAACACAGCAATCTACAAACCTGCTTTCTATAGATTTTCTCTTCCACCGTGCTACATGTCATTAATCTGTATACAACGACATCCTTCTTCTGTCCTATGCGATATGCTCGATCTACACTCTGACTGTCAGTGCTGCAGATTTGCATACAGGGATAACATTTAAATAAATAACTGAGAACCGAATATTTTATGTAAATTAAAGGTATAAACATGTCAAAGTTCTGATGATGCTAGGTGCCTTCAAATGTGATTGCAAAAAGTTAAGACTCAGTTACCTATTTTTTCAAACTTGTTTTCATGTTATTCACCAAAACTTCTCTTCCTAAGAAACATCACATTCCAAGCACAATTTCATTTAGAGTTTTATATCAAAAATCTATTTTCTATTGAAAACATCACATCCAATACCTATTTAATCACATCAAACAATAATTTTATATTCAACTTCTTATAATTCCCAAACCAACCCAAAACTGCACAGTGCACACACTTTCAAGACATATATAAACACAGCCTAACAATGGAAGATCAAGAGGAAAATATTTTCCACTTCTACAAACATCCTTCTTCAGTCCTATACAATTTGATTGATCTACTGACAATGCTGCAGAATTAACATATAAGGACAACTCAAAGAATAATTGCCAAGATATTTTATGCTTGTAAGATATAAAGAGTCAATGTTGAGCACATGATAGGAGTCATCAAATGTGATGGTGTGACAGAAACAAACATGTATCCTCAAAACATATAGATAGGTGGATAGATTGGATTGTCAACAGTACAAAGACAATTTTATAGCTATGTAAATTGAGCAGCGTATACTTTTCAATTAACCAATTAAATCATGCAATAAAATGAAGTGCATTTTGAGATTTCTTTGAAACAAACACAACTTTCCCTCAGATAAACTAGCATCCAAAATTTGTAAAACATTATACAATCATACCTTGGATTCCATGCAGGATCAACCACAATTACACGGTCTGCATTAGTGAGTGTAAGGCCTAACCCACCAACTTGGGATGTTAAAAGGAAAATTGGGGCTCCACGTCCGTCTTGAAATTCCTACAAGCAACAAACAGGTGATGACAATGATATCTCATCTATGAATTTTTTTTTTTTCACATCATACTAATTGAGAAAAGAAAAACCTGGACAATTTTAGCTCTATCACTTGCTTTCGTAGTCCCATCAATCCGCATGTATTTGTAGTCATTGGACTCCAGAGATTCCTGAGTAGAAAAAAAGGGTCTGACTTGTTTTCCAGATAACAAAAGGTTTCAAGATGCAAAAATTCGTACAGTAATTATTTTGAAACCTTAACTTCAAATTTTAAAAGGTGTAACCAATTTGAGGAACATCATGAAGTAAATTAAAATACTGGAAAACTAACTTTATGACAATGTTGGCAATCAGTAGCATTGTTCTCAATATCAAGCAGCATAACCAAAATATGCAATTGAAGAAAGGACCTATAGTCACATAACAATTTATTGCATTATGATGTGTGATATTGTATTGAAGGTAAAAAGGTCATTTCCCTAAATGTGATGTGCATGAGCTGTAAACTTTTAATATGCATGAACAAGGTTGGGATTCCAAAAACACAGTGAAAGATATTTTATGTTAAAATGGTGAGTATGCTTAGGAAATAATGTTTCATGGTACAACATCAGTTGCAGTCCCTAATCTCAAATGGGAGGTACATCATCATTCTCCCAGTTTTACTGTATGCAATTATAAATACTGCATACATCCCAACTCTGTTGCTTGTATGGCTATCCTACAATGTCCCTGTTCAAAAAGACCATCTCCCTTCAAGTAATTATGTGGCAATACTATCAACTGTGAATGTTTCTTATAGGCTATATACTATAGGCTTGATCAGCACTAAAATTTGCAAGGAAGTTTTAAGTGTCTAGCATTCTCAAATGTTGTTTGCAAAATACTAAGCCACTAAGGAATGCACCAACGACACAGGTTCTAAAAAAACAGATGCAGGTCAATATGTAATTGATGTCAAAATCTTCCAACTATAGATGTGGGTGCTTCATTGAAGATCTCAACACAAAAAGCTAAACAACACATTTTAGACTAACCTGAATTAAATTAAGCATCTTTCGAGTTTGTGAAAAAATAAGCACATTATGTCCCTTCGGTATAAGATCAGCCTGCCAACAAGCATAAATTATAAGATATGAAAAATCTTAAAGTTAAACATATGTACTGTGCTCAAATGAACTTTACCAATAAACCCAATAGAAATGATAATTTGCAAGAGACATCATGGTTCTCAACAATGTCATGTTTCAAAGCAACATCCGCTATGTGCATGGCCAATTTCTCAGCAACACGATGATCTTCCTTGTCAGCAACTGAATCCATTCCTTCCAGCAAATCTTCAGCGGCTCGTTTTGTTAGTAGAAGTGGATGATCGCATATTTTTTTCAAGATCTACATCCAAGGGAAAAGTGTCAATCTTTCTGGAAAACAATAATTGCCCATGCACATAGGTGTGAGCTGAATAGAAGCATTTTGGAAAATCTGTCAGATGATTTGCTTATCAACCTTTTTGTGCTTGTTACATAGTACCTAGAACTTCTCTGTTCTGAGCTTATACTCCTAGTAACAAGAAGTTTGCGACAAAAATTGATACATAGAATTGTTTATTTGATTATTTATTTTCTTATGCTTATGAACCATCATTTGTATTGTTTTTCTTCAATGCATCAATAAGAATCAGTAAATTAATCAATTCAATCAGTCAAGAGTTGTATTTCAGAAAATATAAATAAATAAAAATCACAGAAACGTCCGTTTAAGGGATGAGGCTTGCTAATTGCATATGCATATCATTCAATTCCTACCATATTCCAGCAATTCAATAAGTCAAGAGTTGTATTTCAGAAAATATATACAAATAAAAATCACAGAAACGTCTGTTTGCAGATAGATAAGGGATGAGGCTAGCTAATTGCATATGAATATCATTCAATTCCTACCATATTCCAGTCACAAGTAGTTGTATCAGGGGGCAATAAAAACCACTAAAACCAAAAGAAAAGGCTATTTTAGCAAATTACCGTGATAGCAGCAAGAGGGGAACCATCAAAAGCTGATATAACAATCTCACTCTTCAAGAAGGCTTCATAAAGTTGACGCTGGATTCATGGGAGATCACTCCATAAGATTTTTTTATCAACTTGAAAAGGGAAGTCATTGATAATAACAACAAGACATAATCCATACCTGACATTGAGTTAGTCGTAGCCATACAATGATTTCATTCTTTTTGGAAAGCGTATTGTCATCACCAAATACTTCACTTTTCATACGTCTCAAAAAGTATGGTTGAATACAGTCTCTGAGTTTCTGAAGTCAACAAAAATGCAAATCTTGACAAGGCATTCAGATTGAAATTTTTAACTAAAGCAATCACAACAAGGGCTTTAGATGAAAAACTTTAATTAAAGTAATCTTGACAACATGTTAACATGCAGTAAAATCATTCAGAATATGAAAAACTGCAAGAATTCATCATCAGTAAATCAATCGAAATGACCACCCTCAAGCCATACACAAAATGTCCGATCATCCAATCCTCTTTAATCCAAAATGCAGAAACAAATATATAAATTTTTAGAAGTCACCTTTGCAACAGATGAACCAATACGTTTTTCTCGATCAGAAGCATTTTTTTCATTTCCTCGACTGATGAAGTGCTCATATTTGTCCTTAAACCTTAATAATGAGCAGCAAGAGAAAAGAATCAAAATTGGCTGTGAAAACTCAACAAAGCAGCTGCATGAAAGCCTTGTGAGAGGATTACTCTTTCTTGTCTCCCAGAAGCTCAGGACAGCAGAAATTAAATAAGGCCCACAATTCCTATATTAAAATAAGAAGTGGGGAGAACAATGTCACTATATGTACTTTTCATAAAGAAAGAAAATCATTAAAATCAACACTACAATAAAAGCTCAAAAGCCAACCCCATACTACCTTTAGATTGTTTTGAAGTGGTGTGCCACTGATAATGATACGGTGTCGACAAGGAATCTGAAGTAAACTTTTTGCCCTTTGCGTACTTGGATTCTTTATAAGATGGCCCTAATATTTTGACAGGGAATAATATTGATGATAAAATAAGGCATTTCTTAGCATACAAAAGCAGAGGCATGACGTATAGAACATTACACCTACTTCATCAAGAATCATATAATCCCATGTTTCTTCTTCGTCCTCGTCCTCATTGTAATTGTAATCTCCACATAAGGATTTTGTATTGTTCCGCACAATATCATATGTTGTTAAAAGCACACCTTTGTCCTGTAGTGAAGCCATAAGAGAATTAATAGAGAAAACAAATACTAAAAAAGGAAGTAGAGTAATTAATACAACATCAGATAGATACATTCAATTAGTGTCATAGAAAAAGGTCCAGAAGTACTTAATCTCTGCTTATAATCAAAACTTATAATGAAATCATGTTTACAGGAGAAATGAACCATGCGATGTTGATGTTAAGTACAATAAGACCAAAGCCACTTTAGTCCTTCATGTTTAACTAACACTTCCTACTCCTACATTATTAGTGATGAGTTAGAATCTACTCCTACATTATTAGTGATGAGTTAGAACACTGTTACCATTAAAATCCTTCTACTCTTGATTACACAGGAGATAAGGCAGAATACCTGAAGCACATATTGAAGTTCATAATGGCGAGTTTTTGTGCAAGTTGCAAAATACCTAGCAAAAGAGGAAAAACATTTACATTCCTCTTAGCCATGTCATGAAAATAACACAATTTACAGCGATTACAGAAAACAAAGAGAACTCCATACTCTCTTGTCTTCTGAGAGAGCCCAACTGTTGATAGCTCCTTTATCCAATGGGTTAATAGTGTTTTTGGTGCAACAACCAAGACCCTCCTAACCAAATTTGAGTGAAATAATCCAGCTATAAAGCTGCAAATCTGGAAGTGAGTTCAAGAAAGGTCAATCTGATGTAATAGTATGGGAAAAAGAAATTATCAGCACAAGTATTTATTTCCTTTACCTGCATTGTTTTTCCCAGGCCCATATCATCCCCCAAAATACCACCCTTGCCCATACAATGTAGAGACCAAAGCCACTTTAGTCCTTCACGTTGATGTGGATACAAAATTTTAGCTATTTTACCAGGTAACTTATATGTGTTCCTTGAACCAGTCAAAGTGAAGTCATCCAAATGATCACCCAATGTAGTAATGTCATTAGATTCATCATCTGATAACTCAATAGGTTTCCTTTGGAAGTTAGGAACACGAGCTTCTTTACCCAACTTACTCAAAGCAGCATAGTTGTCAGTATATCGTTCCTTCTCTTCTCTTTTAAAGTTGGGAAGATGAGCTTCTTTACCAGATCCTGACTTTATATGAGTCTTTCTATGTTCATTAGTGTCAATTTTCCCATACTTATGCATATTTCTGCTGGCCCTATCATCATCCTTAACATCAGAAATGTAATTTTTTTTCTTTTGGGGTGCATTGGTGTCTTTATATTTTAACTCCTGTGTCTCCTCAGGGGAATCAGATGAAAACAAGTTTGAAGAAGTGGCAGTCTCAAGCAACCCCTCTTTTATGGGAGCATTATATATTTTACTTGTCACTGGCTCATGGAAATCCTCTTTCAAATCTACCTTCTTGGGGACCCTTTTCTTCTCAATAGAAAGCAAATCAAGCTTCGAGCTTAAATCGTCCAGGATATCCCTGATTTCATTTCCACCTTTATTGTTTGGTTTTTTCATCTGAAGAGGTGAATCAAAATCAAATAATTCATCAATCAGTGGATCTTCATCTCTCGTGGAAGTTTTCCCAGCACCAACATCATTGTCATCATCCTTCGATACTCTGCAAAGGCGGCGTCTGCCTTCAATTCTTACCTTTGTCTGCCTAACTTCTTCTGCAAGAATTCCACAATATCCATGAAAGTGAATGTATTCCAGAAGCATGCACCATAGGAGAATATATATGGTTGGTAGTGGTACATAAAGAGTCTAGAAAACCTGGGTAAGTGGAATTATATTCCAAAGAATCTTTCCCGGGAGCATTCTCTTCTTTTTCAAATATTCTGCAACTCTCAAGCTCAATATCATCAGGTTTCACATCACCTGAGCAATTCAGGGCAACTTGAATTGTGTTAAAGCTAAAAATATATTTCATGGAGTAAGCATGCGAGGGAAAGAGAGAACTATAAAAGGAGTTATAATTTACTATCAAATGGCATGTTTATACCTGGAGAATTTGATGTAAATCCACATGATTCATTAGTTGTTGGATGTCTCTCAGTAGAGATTCCGCCTTCTTCAGTAGCATTTCCATGAGGCTCCAGGGCTTTTCACAGATGATAAATAACAACCAAAAGCATATCAATTTATTCATAAGAAATTAAAAAAAATCATGCAAAACACACTGAGACTGAGATAAAGTACAATTAGATTGACAAAATCATATCAACTTTCCCACTTTTCTTCAAAGTGGCACAATTCCAGTGGTACTTTGGTTGTATGCTTCATTCCCATGTCTTGAAAGGGAAACAAACATCACAAATTATCCATTTGTAGCGTTTTACATTAGTTCAGGTACAATTTTTGATTGATTATCCACTATTTCTTGGATTTAGGACAGTAATTTTATATTTAGATGTCTATTTGAATTAGTTATACTTCCAATATTCAGTTTAGGTATCCATCTATCATTAGAACAAGTCTCTTTACAATAAAATTAAAATTATCCCTGGTCTAGGATTTAGTTCTATACAGAAAGGGTTGCGTAAATGAAAAATAGATCAGTTGTATGAATCAGGTCCATGAGCAAGTAACATTTTCAGTTCACTGCTTAGATATTTATCAGACGATATAATTTTATCATTTTCTAATCAACCATCTGCGCATTCAATAAAATCCATGAGCATGTAAATTATTCACTGTTTATATATTTTTCAATTCTATGAGTCAGGTCCATGAGCACGTATCATTTTGCATTTTTTTGAGTTCTTGTTTCCGCAAATCAAATCCCAACAACTATTATGCTTCATTTATATAGATGTCATGAAAGAGAAATAAATATCTGGTTTATTAGCGGATGTCCTCGAAACATATGCATAACATTAGATGGAACCACTGTAGCAATAAAGAAAATTAAAACAAATGCACAACAATAAATAGGTGCTCGGAAAATGTCCCGCAGGCAAGAATGTAAACACATAGAAAGATAAGAACAGATACCACTAGTGGAGCTCGGAGAGTCCAAATCAGCAATGCCAGCAAACAGCCGGGGTGAAAAATCCTTAACCTTAGGCATATGCTCTTCAACATCCCCTTTTTCTTCAACACCAAAATATTACATATCATTTCCACGCAAACACACCAGATGTAAAAAGGGGAAGGGAATCTATACATAAATATACATATATATATATATATATACATGGAAGCAAGAATACCTTGCTCGGGAGAAGGAGTACCAAAATCGAATCGGGGAAAACCGTCATCTCCGCCAATCTCCCCCTCCGAGTGAGTGTTAGCATCCACCACTGTTCCCAAAAATCAAGCCAGGAGTCGAATAAACCCTAAGGCTTCGGCAAAAGCAACTTGTTTGTGAAAGTAACTCACCTGGCGTGTATTTAGACTTGGCCTGCGAAGCGGAGAGGTCAAGGAGATATCGATTGTGGAGCTGATTGAGGCTGAGCGCCTGCTTCCTTTTCCCGTCTGCCATTTGACGATGTTGCCGGACTGCCGGGGAAGAAGGGTGTCCCTCGGTTTCCTCCACACTTCCCGCTCTTGCACTCAAGATTTGAATTTTGGAATTTGTAAAATGGATTGAAACCAGAGTAGGGTTTATGTTGTGAACGTAGTCTAACTGGTCTCTTTGAATTTGTAATGACTTTTCGCCGATCGTACAAATATTGGGATCCTTATATGTAAAAGAGTCGTGCAGTTTCCAAATTTTGAAAAAATTTAAAACCCGTAAAAAAAATTATATTTAGAATGTGTTTGTTGAGGTTTTGGATTTCGAGTTTGAGATTTGAATAATAAAAATTTTGAATTTGAATGGTTATACAATGTAATATAAATATGTATTGATATAAAATTATTTTTTAATATAATATAAAAAATAAATATTTAATTTGATATTTTTAAAGTAAAAAAAATTGAATGAATAATAAAATTCTCAAACAAACACATCCTATGAGCCATTTGGTACAGAGAATAGAATTGAAGAGAAATTAAAGTAGATAATGGAATTACTGAGAAAATGAATTGAGTAAAGAATCAAAATTAATTATCTTAGTTTGATAAAATAGAGAATTCAATTAAAAAAGGTAAAAAAAATGTAGTTATTGAATAAATGATTAATCTATAAAAGAGAGTTGTAACTAGTGAAAATTTATGAAAAAATATTTTTGGTTATTTTTTTAAATTATAAATTACAAACGAGTTTTGTAAGATTATATGTTAGTACATTTTTTTTTCAAAAATAGTAAAAATTAAATTTTTGAATAATAAATTTAATGTGTTTTATAAAATTGAAATAATATAATTTTTAAAAATTATAAAAACTAAATAGTATATAAAAAAAATCAAAAAATAATAATAGTACTGCAATATTCATTTCTCCTCATTTCTCTGGATTTGAGAGATAAATAAAATCAGAGAAATGGAAATTATTTATTTCTCAATTTCAATTTCCATTTCCCTTACTCAAACAAACAAGAAAAATTAAAACATTTTCATTTCTCTCACGTCATTAAGGGGCATTTGGTATAGAAAATAAAATTACAAAGAAATGAGAATAGATAATGGAATTGCTGAGAAATAAAATTGGGTAAAAAATGAGAATTAATTCTCTAATTCGGTAAAATAGAGAATTCAGTCGTGTAAAAAAATGCAGATATACGAATGAATCAAACAACAATAAATGATTAACTGGATTAAATAAAAAAAAGTTCTAACGAATCAGAATTCATGAAAAATATTTTTGGTGACTTTTTTCAAAAAAAAAAATTATAAATTATATACCGTTTTTTTAAAATTATATTTTAATACAATTTCTTAAAAAATTGTACAAATTAAATACTTTAACAATAAATTTAATTTAATTTTTATAAAATTGAAATAGTATAATTTTAAAAAAATTATAAAAATTAAATAGTAAAAAAAATAAGAATAATAAAAAAATATATATATATATAGTGCCGCATCATTTATCTTCATTGCATATGGCAGAGAAATGAAAATGATCTATTTCTCAACTTCTATTACTCTGAATCAAACAAACAAGGGAAATGAGACTATTTCTATTCCTCTGTACTAAACACATTGCAGTAATATTTTGTGTGATAAAAAAATAAAATAAAATTTTTTATTTAAATAATATATTTTTAAAAAATAGTAAAAAAAATTATTTAAGGAAAGATTCAAGCTAAAAATTGCTTTACTTTTCTAAATTTGAATTCAACCTCTGATAAGAATAATTAAAAGGACTTATCCAACTCGTGGAATTTCAATTCAATCTCAAATCTCTTGGGTGTGTTTATCTGGCGCTAAGTCTCGGAAGCTTACTGTACATTTACGGTTAGGGAAAAATTGGGCGCGAGATCCTCCGTAGGCGACAAACGCGTAGGGACATAGGGTTTGACCAAAAATTATTATTCTCATTCCCTTGCATTTATCATACTCAACCACCCTTCCACATTCTTCCACCCCTTCAAATAAAACACAACCTCCCTTCTTCCACAAATTCTTTCTTTTATGTCGGTCCTCCTTGTTACAGATCCAAGTAGGAGCTTGCAAGTAGGAATGCGACACTGTGTGTAGATCTTGGTGTAGGACGTCGTTTACCGGGAGGCAGCGAGAGTGCGTTTAACCACCTCTATTTATCTTTCACGATACGTCTGAAATTTTCACTTCCGATTTGGGTTTAATGGAGCTTCGACATATTTGAGTAGTCTTTATGTCTCAATTTAGTAGGCATTTTTATTTCAATATCTTGTGGCGTCGAGTATGTGCTATGGTTAGCACTTTCGTTTCATGGGAAAAAGTTCCCCGTTAACTAGGTTTTGAGATTTCGAATAAGTGTAAATGCATGGTAAATCGATTAGGCGATGTCGGATTCCTGGTGGTGTTGTGGGCTTGTATTAGAAAAAATTGACCTCGCTCGTCACCGCAGCTCTGGTGGCCGTTCATCAGGTTCAACACCCGGCGATGAGGCCCACCACGGTTCGAACGCGTCAGCCCTTGGTCTTTTCCTTGGAGCTTTTAATTTAGCACAGTGAGAGGAAGATGTAGTGACACCTTATTTAATGTGTGTCGTCGTTGAGGCATTGAGGTTTGTTAGGAGAACTTTTCTGTTAGTCACCTCACGGTTTCGGAAATGACTCGAAAATTTTTCTACCCCATATATTGAAGTCATACTTTACGGGGGTGTGTACTCACTTTGAAAATTAGATTAGAATTCTTAGAAATAAAATGAAAATTGTAGGAGAAAGCAATGGCAATACTACATTGCCAGAAAACAATGCGACAATAGTTTGGTGGTATTCATATTAAGGCCGCATGTCGTACGATCTTCGTTTCCACTTGTTGTGTGGAATCATTCATGCCGAATGCACTTGAATTGTCGTGTTATTCTTGCTCAATTCAAGTGTCACATACCCCTTTCTCAGTGTAGCTTGTAATCTAGCGGTAACGAATCTAACATATGATTTATCCTAGAATACCTAGGTTGTTAATTAGCGTTGTACTAACATTGTCACGAACGTGCGGATAGTCACACCGCCGAACCCGAACGGAGCCCCCTTCGAGTATGATATTGTGCGTATCCATTTGATGCTCTGTAATTCTATCATTCCTTTGATTGAGTATTTCTTCATTCTTTTCCAGTGGTGCACGGTAGGGGGTTCCCTTCGTACAACCACACCGGAGCACCCGTGTATAGTAATCTTCACGGGCCGTGATATCCGATCGCGTATGAGAGGTGATCTTCAACAATATTAACGAGGTACACCTTCCTACAATTGGGCTCCGCTAGGGGTGCTAACTTTTGACGTGGCGAGAAGAAATGTAAGATGTACCTAAATCTCCAATAATCGTAATCACGGTAGTCGTTCTTCCAATTGCTTTGCAATAAGCGTACTTTCAATATTTGTCTTTCGTGCTATACATGTCCCAAAAGAGAGTGAGAAGCTGGAGCCACACCATATCCTGGATGTCTATAGCTCTGTTGGGAGTTCTATAGTCGTTTATAGCCGCAAAAGGAAACAAAAATTAATCATCTCCACTGACGCCTTCAATCTTGACAGTATATAATTTCTTTTGTTCTTCCTAGTAATCTCTTTTGTAATTCGTTTCATTTTTTCTTTTGTTCCTCCTTCATAGATGTCTCGTCGCCGTGGTGTTGAGGGAGCAGTGCCCCGCCCCCCATCACATTGGGATTACGAATTATAACAATATTTTTACTCACATATGCTGGTTACATTTTATTGTTGAAGAAATAAACGAGAAAAATTTTCCTCCAGAGGTGTGGTCGCAAATAATAAAGGAGTTCTTCGAAGAAACGGATTGAAAGTTAACTATGGTTATCTGTGTGACCTTATTGTACGTCAAACAGGACTTGGTTGGGACGCGGAGACATGGGTGGTACTTGCTAGCGAGGCCCAAAAAGCTGTTTAGTTATTGGTAGCACTTATAATCCCAAAACATAATTAACGTAAGGGATTAGCGCATTGTCTGAGTGATACCCATTGTGGAATTGCAGGCGCATCCTGGGAAATTTCATGAAATGTGATCTTAATATGTCTATTTTCAACTGATTCATTTAACTTTAATTCAAAACAACATAATACTGAATTAAAATTGAATACTGAAAAATGTATATTGTATACTGCAGTATAAAATAAAGTAACCTTAAATGTATCTGAACATTACTAATTAGCTCCCACTAAATTGAAATATCGAAATATGATTCCACTCTCACACGAGCAATATGCTCATTATAGGACTTATGTGAAAACCCTTTAATAATTAAGCAGATCCGCAATCATGAAAGCTATACAAATATGTTCAATGGTTAATTCATTATGTGAAGCCATACAACTAAGCAAATAACGATTATTATGATCAAATAAGGTAGCGGTTCCAACCGATTTTGAACTATAGAAGTGACTAAACTTTATTTCCAAATGAACAATCATAACCAAAATTTTCCAAAACAAAGATTAAAATTAAATTTCGACTAAAGATGTTACCAAACGATGTCTTATCCAAATTCAAATAATAATCGGTACTTAATAATAATCTAAAATTTCCATTGGCTTTAACTTTAACTTTCTTGCCGTCACCCATATAGATGTATCTTTCACCATCAATTATTTTTCGGCAATAGAAAAAATCTTGCATAAACACACTGATGTAAATTGTTACACTAAAATACACCCCAGGTATGTCTCTGAACTGAAGTTAAACTACTTTCAAGAGCAAGACCAATAGGACATACATGTCATCTGAAATGTCTAACTTAAGTGCCCTCAATTTAGTAACAATATTAGATATGTTCAAAATGTACTCTCTTATGTTAAATTTGTCATTATACCTCATGGTAATGAGATTTTTAAGAATAATACTTATTCTCGCCTTACCACTTTTGGTGAAGCGTTTCTTAATTTTGACAAAGAATTCATTAGCAATAGTGATATCATAAGATATTGTATTCCGAAAAATTTATGAATTGTTTTTCTTAATAATCATCGGACTTAGGTGTTAGGCCTATCTCACTTCTTAAACAATTACTTTTCATATGCAGTGCTTTTTTCACCATACGAAGGTGTTGGTCTACTTTTAATGTCAAGTCAAGATTTATGCAACCCAAATGAATCAATATTGATTCTTTCTAGTGCTTATATGTATTCTCATACCATGTTGGGACAGAAAAATATATATATATATATAAATATTTATGAAACTTAACGAAGTTTAAAAATAATGCATTCTTATCCCAAGATACTAAGTACAACATCAATGATAAATATTTGGATCAATAACATTGATGGCTAGCAGTCATCTTGTTGCAATAATCATGCATGGACAATAAGTAATGTCAAATAATAAACCACTCTTTGGACTGATTAACTATTCACATAAGTTAAAGCCATATAATCATATCGCAAATGTATATTTCATTCTGCCAATTACCAACTGCCTTTGGGCCGAAGAATACTCACATGAATTAAAATACACATAAATATTTGCGTTATCAAGTAAAAATCTCATATAAGAGATGTTACTTTGGCAACTTCAAATACTGTTGGATTTGAATCTACAAATTGTACACACCAAAAATTTAATTGGGCCGACCTAATACAAGTGTAGCCCAAGCCCTGAGAGGTTTGCGGTCCAACAGAAGTCCATATTAGCGAGTAGGATTTTTGATATTTTTATATCCCTTGTTATTAATTGGTCTCATCACTCAATTAATAAGTTACTGAATTTCTACGTATAGGAGACCCGCATTTACTAAATACATTGAAATTTAATAAATTAATAATTCACTTAATATATACTTAACCTAATAGCCCAAATAGTTACATTTAACTAACCATTGAATTTTAATCCAACAATTATATCAAATAACTATTTAAATTTTTAAAAAAATTACTATTTAAAATTCAAACAAAAAATGTATGGTATTTTCATTATATATCAAAATACCAAATATTAAAATATCAAAATGGTATACATTATTTTCTTTGTATAAGGAACTATTGAAACAAATTCAATATTTCGATATAATATCGAAAATAAATATCGTACCGAAAACATTCGGTATAATATCATATCGAACTGAAATATTTTGATATATCGAACATGTATGATTTTTGATATTTTTTAGTATGATTGATATTTTTAACTTTAATTAAAAACAAATTATTGAAATAATCATTAGTAAAAAATATGATTGATATTTTTAACTCTAATTAAAAACAAATTATTGAAATAATCATTAGTAAAAAAAATTGGATATGATCATCCAATAAAAAAAACTTTCAATATGTGGACTACACTTACTATTAGTATAAAAAAATACAATATAACACTGATTTACAATATAAAATATTACTTATATTATTAATACCGTCTCAATTATCTAATAATATAAAAATATATCAAACTAAACAGATAGATCTAAATAGATTAATTGAAATAGTTAAAATTTCATTATTTTGAATTCATCAAATTTCTTTTTTTCTATTGAAAATAATATAATAGAAAATAAAAAGTTGCATATTTTAGTGGGGTAAATTATACTCCTTTCTCTCATATCTATATATTTATTTGTTTTTACACGAAGTTTTAAAAATATTAGTATTATATTGGGATAAAATAGAAATAAATGTAAAAAGATTAAATTAATCCTATTAGTATTATATGATATAAATGTAATGACATTTGTATAATATATTGTAAATTGGAAGAGTTTTTATAATGTTAGTTGATAGTACAATTATTAAAAAAAGAAATGAATACTTTGTCATGAAATCAACCAAAATAAAAAACGGATAGATTGTTAAGGGACAGAGAGAGAGTAACACTTAGTTGTTTTTTTTAGTAAAAATGCACAAAAAACTTACTGTTTTATTTATTGCGTGAAACCCTTTGTGTTAATGTAAAGTTTGCACGAAACACCATCTTTATCAAAATCTGATGTTTGGTTTTAAATAAAAACCTAAATTACGCAAGTTTTATACAAATAAAAAATTGTAAAATATCTTAACTAACTTTTTTGAGTAAAATAAATAAGTAAATTAATGGTCAATAATTTATTTTATAATTTTTGTAAAAATCAGATAATAATTTGTTTTCAGGAAACTATAAAACGAAAAATTAATCAATTATTTATTTATTTAATTTATCCAAAATAATTATTTAAGATATTTTTCGTTTTCTACTTTTTATAAATTTACGTAATTTAGATTTTTATTTATAATCAAACATTAATTTTGAATAAAAAAAAATTTTCATGCAAATTTTATATTAATGTAAAGAAGTTTCACGTAACAAATAAAATACAAAAACATTCAAAATTATTGTGATGGAGAAGGTTAGGACGGTTGAACCGTAAGGGCCCAGACAAAACCCTAAACCTAATTTGGGAAAGAAACTTCGCATCTCTATCTCCAGGCCTGCCTCTGCCTGGTCCAGCCAAAACAATGGACGACGAAAACGAACACCAATAAACAAATAAATGCTGCCACCGATTCGGGTCAGCCCACGCCATCGCTCATCAATCTGCCTGCCAGTGCCAGGTTGCCTAAATGCAATTGCATTACGTGTCCCCGCCTCAGTCGACTCACCTTTTCCACTGTTAAAATACTCATCGAACGATCCATGAATCTTTCCTGGAATTCCGTGCGCCACGACGCTGAACAACGGAGCGGAGTAGGAAATTCATACCCGAGATCCTCCGCGCCTGCCCGCCCTGATCGGAGTGCCGTCGCTGGATTTATTCGAATCGGGTTTAAATCCAATTGGTGAGTCCAATGGTGTCTGCCGCGAGTGAGAGCGAGAGTGTGAGGAACCGGAAGTTGTTGCTAGGGATTGGGTTTTGGGTGCAGGGATTGCGGTGCTTTCCATGGATGGGCGTCAATTTCTTCCTCAAGGACGGGATGCGAGTGGACCCTTCCACTCTGCAGATCATTCAGAACTCCTCCAATTTGCCGATGGTGGCGAAGCCGTTGTACGGCATACTCTCTGATTCGGTCTACATCGCCGGCCAGCACCGCGTCCCCTACGTAGCTCTTGGAGGTATCTACCTACCTACCTACCTACGGCCTTAATTTCCTTCTCGTTACGCATATCGTTTATGCTTTATTGTCTGATTCATTCGACCCGTCCCCTTCAACTTGAACTGAACTCAACTCAACTCAACTTCTCGTTGTAGGTAGATTCAATCGATTACTGATACCATCCATCAATTGATTTGATTTCGTTCTGGTCCTGAATTTAATATTTGTATCTGTAATTCTAGCAGTATTGGGTAGCAAATTGATCTTATGCTTGAGGTAAATGATTTTGAATCTGTCTGTATTGAATGATGAACAATGGGACAGTAGGAGAAGCTATCTGCTAGTTACCATTTCTAAGTTGCTTTCATCGTCGAAATGGACAAAATATTTGGAAAGAAGATTCATAGAATGTCCTAAGAAATTAAGAAACTATCTTTCCATGGATTGGATTACTGACGCTGAATGTATTTAGAGCAGCTAAGGAATTAGATGATGAGATGCCCGAGCAGCTCGTAAACTTAATACTGTCTAACGACTTCGTCGTGTTTGTATGGTATTCAGTGTAGGATAACTACAAATATGCATTCATTGGCATGCATTAGACTCGATTGTTCGCAATACTTCAATGTTTATTCATGTCAATACTTTCGTAATTGAGGCGCTACACATGTTTGCTTCTCGCATATCTGTTTGGCCCTTTGTGTCATAATGTTCGAATAATGTATGTATAGCATTTAGAGACTGCTGTGAATAATGCATATATAGCATTTAGAGAGCTCAACGTTCTTTTATGCGCTTAATGTGTGTGTAGAACCAAGTAGAAGTGTGCAATATATATGTATATGGAATGGAATGTAGAATATCACGAGTTATGGTTTTTCCGGGGCAGGCGAGCAAAGAACAAATGAGTTTTTATTTTTTTATTTTTATTCCTGTTTCTGTGAGACAGTGTTGTGGTGCTGTTCTGCTAATGGTGAACGAGTTCTAACTATGGAGCGTGTAGTTGAATTATCAATTTGGTAACTGACCATTGTAATTATCTTTGCAGCACTTGTGCAGGCAGTTTCGTGGATAGCTTTGGCATTTTCTGCTACATCTGGCGCATCATTTTTATCTGTCACGTTTTATCTTCTCCTTGGGAACTTGGGGGCATCTATAGTGGAGGTTGCTAACGATGCCATGGTTGCCGAGACTGCAAAGCAACCTAGTTCTTCCAAGAACTCCAAATCATCTTCCTCCGGTGCACTGCAGTCTTTTGTTTGGATGGCCTCGTCGATTGGTGGAGTTTTGGGAAATCTGTTTGGGGGAATCGCCATTGATAAATACTCCCCGCAGATGATGTTCTTCGCCTTTGGAATTATTCTTTGTTTCCAGTTCTTGATCACGCTGCTCATCCGCGAGAGCTCTCTAAACCTACCCCGAAGTCCACCCAACACGGGCTTTAAGAAACAATTGTCGGAGCTGTTTTCCGCGCTTAAGAAACCAGAAATTCTTCACTCGATATCGTGGTTTTCTCTGTCTTATGCTATTATCCCGGCGCTCACGGGTACCATGTTCTACTACCAAACTCAAAGCCTGAAGATCGAATCCGCAATCCTCGGGATATCTAAGGTGTTTGGGCAAGCAGCTATGCTCCTATGGGGCGTCGTTTACAACCGCCATCTCAAGTTGATCTCGTCGAGGAAATTAATATCCGCGGTTCAACTCTCCATGGTTGTGTTGATGCTATCGGATTATCTCTTTGTGAAGGGCATCTATCAGGCAATCGGCCTCCCCGAGTACATATACGTGGTGATTTTTTCCGGCCTGCTTGAGGTACTCTACTTCTTCAAGATTCTTCCATTTAGCGTATTGATGGCGCAGCTTTGCCCACCCGGCTGCGAAGGAGCAGTCATGGCTTTTGTCATGTCGGCAATCGCCCTGGCATTTATAGTAAGTGGCTACCTCGGCGTTGCTCTAGCTTCTTATGTCGGGGTGAGCGGAGAAGATTTCTCCGGCCTGCCGCGGGGCCTCTTGATCCAGGCAGCGTGCACGCTTTTGCCGGTTTTCTGGGCATCGTACATTCCGGAAGACGTCAAAGGGAAAGCCAAGAAGGAGAATTAGATGTAGTCGGTCAGTGACACATCGACGCGTCGAATCATAAGGTAGGTGTTCCCTTTGTGGATAGTTTACTTTCCTTGTCTTTATTCTTTCAAGTTACTAAGGTACCCGAAAAACTTGGTATTTGGGCTTGTTATGCTATGCTATGTCATGTCTTGGTTATTGCAGAAATTTCAGTGTCAATAAAATACTATACTATGCTGGCAGTGAAATTTAAGTCGGAATATTTAGGTACAACATTTTTATTGAATTGAAGGTGGTTGTTGAAAGGAAGGGCAATCAGCAATGGCCAATGGGGGCTTATCTTTTGTATTGTATAGTATGGTCGATTTGTGTCCGCTGAATACTTTAGACGAGTTAAATTACTAACCATAATTCGATCCGTTTATTATTGTGGGTTGACTTGTGTTGATCTGTTCACATAATTAAGTCGAATTTTTTATTCAAATTAAATTAATATATTTATAATCTCGTTGTCGTGTTCGATTCGAATTGAGAGCCTCAATCATCACCCGATCTTTGTATTATCGTGTTGGGTTCGTGTTGACTTGTATATATAATTGAGTTAAATTTTTTTACTCAAATCCAATTATTTCGTATCAGTTGTCAGTTGTTATGTCGGATAGATCTGTCATGCGCATGCATTTACAAATAATAGTAGGGCTTTTTCTTTTTGTAAAAAAAAAATTTGTAAAAAAAATTTAATTATATTTTTCTGAAAAAATTAATATATTAGATATATTTATTATTTTTATATTATTTTTATATATTTCTCTATCCTCCATATAAAAAATATTTTTTCAAATCAAAACATATACATCCAAAGTAAACATACTAATTCATTAGTTAAAACAAATGTAAAAAGCCAAAATTATAAACAACCAAATAAAAATAAAATTAAATTGTTGATTTTCTTTTTAAAAAAGTTGATTTCAAGAATGTGATATTTCATAGGAAAAAAAATATTCTAATTTAATAATGAAAAAAAAAAAATCTAACTAAAGTCATTTTACAAATAACACAGGTGTGTTTGTTCTGTATTTTGATTTGAAAGAATTTATTTTATACTTAGATATAGAAAATTAGATAGATAATATGAAAATAATAAAGTTAATTTTTTTTAAAGAATGTATTAGCAAAGTATAGTTAAAAAATAAAATAAAAATTTGTTACATACACAGTGCAGTAGCAATGGTTGAGAAATTTGACACCAATATGTTTGTGTCACGGGTTCGAGTCCCGTCTGCGCTGTTTAAATAATTTTTATTAATTTATGTATTGCAATTATTTACTGTTGTTATTTATTTATTTATTTTTTTGTTTAATAATTAATAATGTTATAGTGTCCCATACCGGCATACGTAACTTTATTTATTTTTACTAATTTTCGTAATAAATATAATTCGATACCACGTTAGTTAATATTTTTTCCCATAAATAAAAAATTGCAGATTATCCATTTGTTTATTTTAATCCCATTTTTACTAATTTTCGTAATAAATATAATTCGATACCACGTTAGTTAATATTTTTTTGCCATGAATAAAAAATTGCAGATTATACATTTGTTTATTTTAATCCCAGCGTAGTAATCCTCTACGGAAATTCCAACGTAGCTTTCCTGGACCAGCAGTCTCCTCCAATGGCAGGCTTCCAGGCGCCGCTTCGGCCGCAGCCACCGTCTTCCGCTTCCCGCCACCATTTCTCCTCCGGCGGGAACCTTAATCTCGTTCTTCTCGCACTCCTGCCTCTCTCTCTCGCTCTCTTCGCTTTCCTCCTCCAATGGCGGGGCGGAGGCTTAGAATCCTTAGATGATCCATTTTCCCGATTTCATAGTGAATCACATTCGTTTCCAGGCATGGACGTCGGCGGCGACTATCCTCGCTCTACTGCTGATCAATCTTCTGATTGCTCCACTCTTCTGGCGCGCTCGAATGCAGCAGAGTTCCCGCATTTCAGAGACTGGAAGTTCAAGTTTGACGCTGATCTTGAGCCCAAGGTTTTTCCTATTCGCTTATAGTTTTTAATCTCAGTTATGTTTGATTAAGGGTTTCTGATTGTTCTCGTGAGCTGGATTGTGTGTTTCGGCGATTTTGGAAGTGTTTATGAATATATTGAATTCAAACACAAGGTTTCAATCGTGGCTTCGGTTCCTATTGTACGGACGTATCCGCATGTTGGTCGACGCCTCTTCTTAATCTGGTTAATTATTCCTGTGAGTTTAATTCCTACAAAAACGACGACGCAAAATCCTTATCCAACTTCTTTGACGTCTAATGATGGCTGTTTATGCATAATCGATTTTGGCTGTCTACAGTTCAATTTGTATGAAATGTTTTGATGCATTATTGTAATTGTGATGTTCAATGCCGATGTAGATTGCTTGTTCTTCATGATTGTTCATTGTTTATTTACAGATATGCATTGCAACAAGTACCTCTGCTGGCTTGGAGCAAATTCTTCCATGGGTATATTATCATAAAGTTATTAAGGTGTCGAATTTTTTCCTTTTTGTTGAAGGGAAGGCTGCGTCTGCTCCAGTGTCCAAAGTTCTTGAATCCTTACCGGTGAGTTTGTGTCCTAACGACTAATTTCTTTAGTTTCTGTGATTAAGGATCTTTAGTTTTCGTTGTTTATCTAAATATCTGCTACGGTATAGTGATAATCATGTGATATTGATGAACTAAAACATCAAACAAATCAAAACAGTGTTTGTGGGCTTTATATTGTGTTCAAAGGCAGCATCGATCCTGTTAGTCAAACGAATTATGTCTGATTTGTGAACCTCTTTTTTTTTTTTTTTTTTCTTTGGTTCTTTCTCCAAAGTACAGTAAGGGTGTGTTTGTTTGAAGGATTTTGGAGGATTTCCACTATTCATCCAATTTTTTCCCCCCAAAAACATCAAATCAAACACCTATTTTTCATTTTTTATATTATACTAAAAATCAATTTTACATTCAAAACATCACATCAAACCCTATTTATATCACATCATACAACTATTCAAATTCAAAATTTTTACTATTCAAATCCCAATCCAAAATCCAAACCCCCAAACAAACACACCCTAAGTTTAACTGGCTCTGCCATTCCATTTAGGCTTCCTTGTTGCTATTAGGGGGTTTTATTGGATTGCTTTATTAAGGTAATAGGGGCTGCTAAATTTAGTCAAATGAATTCTTGTGTCTGCACTTTGGTTAAGAGAGAATTGGGCAGCCATCTCTCATTGCTAGCTTCTCTCAAGTCTTCAACTCTTAGGGGGATTCATTTTTATTCTACTTCATTTATTCTTTCATGTAGAACTGGGATGACTACACTCTGTTTTTTGGTCCATTTTAATTTTTCTTTAGTTAGCAGTTGACTTGGATTGACTGCCAATTTCAACAATGATTCTCAGTCTGATTTCTCTTCATTTGGTCTTACATGATTATGGTGTTGCCCTTGTCGATGCCCAAGTGTGTAGTAGTGGATATATTAGTCTGATGCTTTGGCACATTGGTGATAATCATTAGTTGAACACCTTGCCAGAAAGTTGTGCCTTGAATGTCATGATTTGTCAGAATCAATTAGGTGAAGGCTATTTAACCTTGCAGGGAGTGAAAGTGATATACCGAACCAAAGAGCTAGAAGAGCAACAAGCTAAAAGGTATATGATTTCCTCTCTCACCATGCAGTCATTACTTGTAAGCTGTTCAACTTGTTGATATATCATCTACTTGAGAGCATGTTTATTTATGTTTTCTGATAATATTAATGATCTATGAAGTTGTTATCTTGCGCTTAAAAAGTTCATGAGATTAATAATTTAAAACAATAAAAGTGTATGATCTTGATTCTGATTATTAATCTCTTACAAATCTTGTGTTTCCACATCAGCCGGGCATGGAATGAAACTTGGTTGGTAGATTTCTTTTACAAGCCTTGCAACTATGAGCTTTTTGTGAAGCAATCCCTAAACATGGAGATAGCCATTGTTATGGCAAGGGTATGGATTCATACTTGATTAGAAAAACTTAAATGTATTCTCCTGTGATGAACCAGTGAAATTGTTTGCTTGTTATGATTCCAGGAAGCTGGCATGGACTGGATACTTCATCTGGATACTGATGAATTAATGCATCCAGCTGGTTCTCGGGAATATTCTTTGAGTCAGGTTTTGCATGAGGTGCCTCTGAAGGTGGACATGGTTATCTTTTCCAACTATGTAAGTAGTTTGACCCTCTTCTTCTAGTCACTCCTCTTTCTTAAGTGATTGGAAAATTTTGTTCTCAGTATTTCCATTCTTAAACTAATGCTTCAGTGCCTCAGTGGTAATTGAAAACTACCGAATCCTTTATGTTGATTTTCTTCTTTGTGTAAGTAATATATACGTCCTTTGCAGGAGAGCTGTGTTGAACGAGATGATATTAAGGACCCATTCACAGAGGTAATGACAAATGTTTTATGCATGTACAGCTTTAATTTATGTGTGTGTTTAATTTGCTGGACTTGAATGCACCAAAGATGATTATTTCATCTTCTGTGCAATGTTTCATGATTACCTTGTCCCACGCAAATCGTTTACCTGTAACTATCATAGTATGGTCATAATATCAGCCAATTTCATCCTTTTAACTAATTGAGGAAGAATTTGCAAGTTATAAAACCCGGAGGTCGAATTTTCCATCTCGAAGAAAAAACACTCTGATCTCGTATCAGAAATATTCCCAACTCTCCTTTTGGGGCTTTGACTCTTACATAAAATTCTTGTTTGGACAACTCAAAAGTTGGAGAAGTTCTTTTACTAATAAATCGCTATTCAAAATCATTCCATTCATGATCTTTTATCCTTGTTAAATTTTTCTTAGATTTTGGTGAAAACCATCGTTTATGCATCTGTCCTTTTGATTTGGTGGAACTGGCTAATTACTTGTTTCGATATACCCTGTAGGTATCCATGTTCAAGAAAAACTTTGACCATTTGTCAGAAAGCACCTATTTCAGCACGTATGAAGTAGCATCCCATGACAATCCAAACTATTTTTTGACCTATTCAAATGGGAAAGCAGCTGCTCGAATACAAGAGCATCTCCGCCCCAATGGTGCCCACAGATGGTACAATTACAAGAAAGATCCAAAGTATATATCTAATGTTTACCTATAATTTTTGCTCCCATCTGGTACCAATTATGCTCTTCCTTGTTGCTTATTTCATCTGTATTTGATTCATGTTTCTGCTTTGTTGTTTATTTTGTTTTGGCATGGGAGCTCCAACATTTTTTTTGTTGACTTTTGATGAATGGTATTTTATAATAATTGATAGAGAGATCAAAATGCAAGAGGCAGCAGTCCTACATTATACATATGCCAAGTTCTCTGATTTGACATCTAGGCGAGATCGATGTCGTTGTAAACCAACTCAGGAGAATGTCAAGAGATGCTTTATGTTGGAATTTGACAGAGATGTGAGTTTTATTTTATTTTAAATTTTAAATTTTAAATTATTCTGTTGATTTCATTTATGTCTGGATAAAGTTTGTGCCATGTTAGCTGTAGAAGGATGCTATAGTAACTCAATCTTATGGCCATCCTCAGTGCTGAAAGCGGGGCATGCTGATATTTTTTTTGAAGTTGTAAGGGACACTTAGAGGCATGCCGTCATTAAGTCATTAAAATAGTGTCCTATAGGCAATTGCAAATTAATACTAATAGATTTATTAGATTCATATCTATATTAATGTCTATATCTATATTCATATCAATATTTATGATTTAGTTCCTTGTTAGGATAGATTTTTTAAATATTTTTTTATATATATATATATTCTTCCTTTTCTTGTTTTTTTTTTGGAATAATATGAACAATATTTGTTATCAGAGCCAATTAAAATTGAGGCAAAATCTTGTTTCTAGCAGCCGCCGCGAGTTCCGCCGCTGCCGCTGCAAGTCCAAGCAGCCGCCGCCGCCTCTCAAACCCTAATTCAACCAAAACCCTAAATTTTCTCCTACTTCAATTTGAGAATCTTTCCACTCAACTAAGACCATAATCCATCTCCTGCGCTCAACGGTGATAGAGTCTCCGTCCGCCGCCGCACGTGCCCCCATGCGTTGTCACCGAAGGATGAACCAGTTTTGGTTTCGGTCGTTTTTTGACCTTTTCCTCGCGAATTTTTCAGACAAATGCATCAGGTGACGTTGCCTTAGGCGCCACCGCCAGCTGTTCGCCGGATTTTTTCTCAGGAAGCTTTTTTGGTGTTGTTTCTATATCTGATCCATTTAAATTTCAAAATTAAAGAAAGAACTTCCATCTTATGTGCTCTGCTGTGGAATTCCTTGAATCTAACTATACTTCCCACGTATCAAGTCATTTGAGACATGCTATGAAGTTTGGAGTAAGACTTGCTTCAATTTACAACAATGATATTCAACGCTACTACTTTATCTAGAAGATCACACACTTGATCTTCCTACTTATGTGAGTAAACTGGAAACTATTCGACAAGAGTTCAGTTCTCTTATTTCTACTAGTTGTGCAATCCAGAGGTTGCATAGGACAAATTCTTTGCCGTATTAACTCTTGTTCACCTTAAGCTTGATCTGATCATGTTCAAGACCAGATACTAAGAGGTTCCACTGTACTAACGTTGGATGATGTTCTTGTTAGTCTAGTACGACTCTTCTAGTCGTAACACTCATGTGGCTGCCCCATTTACTAATACTATTGATAGTTCATCTTTGGTTTCTTAAATTATACAGCATTCCTTTGTATCAGGCTTCTCAATAGTCTTCTTCCACCACTATTTTCGACTCACCTGATACCCATGCTTCTGTTATTCATGTCTCTCAGACGTCTCTCGGTCCAACTCATGTTACTGTTGTTAATGGTGATAAAGCTTACCCTCAAGTTTTTGGTAGTGCCAGTCCGTCACCTAATTTACCTCTACATTTTGTACTTTATGTCCTTCAAAGTCCATTTGACCTCACACCTGTTAGTCGTCTCACTAGAGATCTAGATTGTTCTATCTTGCTAACTCATGATTCTCTTGTTATTTAGGATTGCAGCACGGGGAGGGCGATTGGTACCGGATGTTTGTCTCATAGGTTATATTACATAGACGAGTCCTCTCGCAATACCTCTACCCTTGCTATATCTTCTATTGAGTGTCCCGAATTATTCCATAAGCGATTGGGTCATCCAAATCTGTCTAAATTAAAACGTATTTTTTTCTAATTTTTATTACTTTGTTACCATCTAAGTCATATGAGCTTGGAAAACAATCTCGTACTTCCTTTCCCAAACGCATCGATAGTCAAGCATCTGAGCCCTTTACACTGGTTCACTCGGATGTTTGGGGGCCTTGTCGTACTACTTCAACTCTTGGTTTTCAATATTTTGTTACATTTATTGATGAATTTTCTCGATGTACTTGGATTAATTTAATGAAAAATCGATCAAAATTACTCTCTACATTAAAAAAGTTTTGTGCTGAAACTCGTACACAATTTTATACATCTATCAAGGTTTTAAGAAGTGATGAGGGTGTAAAGTATTTTTCTCACTCATTTAGTCATTTTCTCTCATCTGAAGGAATATTCATCGGTTGTCATGTTCTTCCACTCAACAAAATAGAGTGGCTGAACGCAAGAACAGTCATCTAACATAAACAACTCGTACATTATAATATTCCATTTCATTTTTGGGCTGATGCTATTGTTACAACATGTTCCTTATTAATCGTCTTCTGTCTGGTATCTTAGTACATCAGATTCCCATAACATGTGTTCAGCCTAATGTGTCCCTATACCCTTTACTCATCGTGTATTTGATTGTACGTGCTTTGTTCATGACCATTCTCCTGATTTGGACAAATTACGTCATCGATCCATCAGATGTGTTTTCCTTGGGTACTCTCAAGTTAAAAAAATATATAGATGTTATTCTCCTCTCACTCGTCAGTATTGCTTTAGTGCAAATGTGACATTCTTTGAGTCATCACCATATTTTATAGTGTTATCATCTCTATCCTCAAATACTTATGACTCTTATTCTAGTTGTCTCAATTTCCAAGCCTCCATTTTAGGTCTATAGCCGGCATACATGGTAGCGTCAGAAGGTACTTACTTCACTATCACTTGCGCTTATTGATGACTTATCTTCGGTTTCATCACCTTCCCCGGCTGTGACTCCACAATCACTTGTTGTCCACGTCGAGGTACATGGTCCATTAGTAATCATAACCCTATTTATAATTTTCTTAGTTATCACCGTTTATCTTTTTCCATGTATAGTGTTGTGACTGCTTTAGACTTCATCTCTGTTCCTCGCTCTCTGCGTGAAGCTATGGGTCATTCAGGGTGGTGTCAGGCCATGATAGAGGAAATGTCTGCTTTGCATGCTAACAATACTTGGGAGTTGGTTCCGTTACCGCCGGGAAAAACACCTGTAGCTTGCCGATGAATTTATGCAGTCAAGGTTGGACTTAATGGTCGCATGGATCGACTTAAAGCTCGACTTGTTGTGAAGGGCTTTAATCAAGTATACGGAAAGGACTATACAAAAACCTTTTTTCCCGTTGCCGAAATGTCTTATGTTTGTATTTTTCTTTCGATGGCAGCAATGCACGGTTGGTTCCTTAATCAATTTGACATTAAAAATGCATTTTTGCACGTTGAGCTTCAAGAAGAGGTATATATGGAACCTAGTTTTGTTGCTCAGAGGGAGTTTGGTCTTGTATATTGCCTTCGTCGCTCACTCTATGGCTTGAAATAAGGATGACAATGGGTCGGGTTTGGGTTGGGCCTAGCCGGACCTAACACCCGACCCGAAAACATATTTGGCTCCGAGACCCGAATTGGACCTAACTATACCTAGACCTGATGGTCCCTGACCCGACCCAAGCAACACTCTAAAAGATCTTATGGACCGCAAGAAACTTTTACATTTATGAAATTTTAACTTAAAATTGAACCTAAACCCGGACCCGGACTCGACATATACGAAAATTATATATTTTATTCAAAAATACTATAATAAAATACAATGATAAATAAAAATAAAAAGTATTTTTAATATAATTTATATTGTTAGAAATTATTTTTTATATATATATAATTGATATATTATTAATATATTAATCGGATCCGAATCCGGGTCCGGGTCGGGCTCATTTTTAAACCTGAGTCCCCATCTGAATCCGATATAGGTATACAAGACCCGATCCATACTCGATCTGATACCCGAATAAATGGACTTAATCCCAAATAAATGGATCGGGTCTCGGGTGTACCCATACCCATTGTCATCCCTAGTTTGAAACAGTCTTCACGGGCATGGTTTGGACGTTTTAGTGTTGCTATTAAAGAATTTGGTATGACACAGTGTTCGTTTGATTATATTGTATTCGTCTAGCATACTTTAGAGGGACAATTTGTTTACTTAATTGTCTATGTTGATGTAATCATTGGAGATGATATTGATGGTATTACAAAGTTAAAAAAGCATTTACACAATCATTTTTAGACCAAAGACTTAAGACCACTTCATGCTTTTTAGGAATTAAGATTGTCCAATTTAAGAATGGTGTTATCCTATCTAAGAGAAAGTATATTCTTTATATGTTGGAAGAAACATGTATGAATGAATGTAAGGTTGTGGATTCCCATATGGATCTAAATACAAAATTGCTTTCACGACAGGGGGAGCTATTGACTGATATAATGCTAGACAATATAAGAGACTGCTTGGAAAGCTTAATTATCTCACTATCACCTGATTAGATATATCATTTGCAGTAAGTATAGTAAGTTAGTGCAGTCTCTATGTGACTCTCATTGGAAAACACTTATGCGTATTTTGCGTTATATTAGAGGATCTCCCGGAAAAGACTTACTTTATACAAGTCATTGTCATTCTGAAATGGTTGAATATTCAGATGCTGATTGGGTGGGGTCTCTCTTGTTATTGTGTGTTTGTTGGAGGTAATTTGATATCTTGAAAAAGTAACAAATAAAATATGGTGCATTCTAGTGCTGAGGCTTAATATCGTGCTATGACATGTGAATTTTTTTGGATTAAACAATTACTTTGTGAACTCAAGTTCTGTGATGTGACAATGATGAAGTTATGGGGTGATAACCAAGCAACACTACACATTGTATCAAATCCAGTATTTCGTGAACGAACAAAGCATATCGAAATAGATTGTCACTTCATTAGGGAAAAAGTATTATCTGGATTTATAAATACTAAATATGTGCCCTCGTATAATCAACTTGCAAACATTTACGAAAGTTCTGACCTAGATCCTAGTCCTTGGATCCTATGATTTGTACGCTCCAGCTTGAAAGGAGTGTTGGATTTATTAGATTCATATCTATATTCATATCCATATCTATGATTTAGTTAGTTGTTAGGATATATTTTCTAAATGTCTATATATATGTATGTATTTTTTCCTTTTATTTTTCTTTGGAATAATATAACATTATTGTCCCCTTATTTCTCTACAAATACCATCGACTGTTTAGCTATTTTTTGTACTTATGAGAACACGAATCAACAATTTGATATATTATGGTTGGTGAAATCAACATATCATACACTACTAAGTTCAAACTCTAAGAAGTTTTAGTTAATCTGTTTATATATGCCGACAATAATCTCAATTGAAGTTGCAGAATCAGTAGGCTCCAGTTTCAAATTTAAACAACTGGCTTTGTGGTGGGGTTCTACACTTTTTCCTATATGTTCTGTATGAATTTCTCTGTATTATAAATGTACGGGCCAATATAATTGATTGCCAGCTTCGTGGATGCATTTCTTTAGTGCACAATGTGCTACTGGCCTTTATTTGTGTAGTTTTAGTTTGTTTCCTGCTTATGTACTGAAGGAGATCTTATTATGATATGCATTTGTCTTCTTTTGTGAACCAATTTTAGTTGTTCTGTTTTAAGGTATCCATAGTATTTTAATAATTTCAATGAAAGTATGGTATGATTCTCGAGCTTAACTATGATTCTCTAAGGAAAAGCTGGCAATACCTATCTAGTTTCCATGAAATCTAAGACTGAATTAATCACTATCGAACACAATCTAGAAAATTTTCTGCTATTTTCCTAGGGGTGAAATAGCATTTGAAGACCTATGTTTTTGTTCTATAAACTATTTCTTGTGGTTCTTGTTTGCAATCTTATTTATTTGTTCGTTCATATGCAGGCATTTATAATTGCTTCAACTGCAACAGAAGAGGAGATGCGAAACTGGTAATAACTGTTCTGACACCGATTCTTGTTATTTATCAACACGGGCAACTTTGTAAGAAATTATCAACTCCAAGTTCACTTTATAGACCTGACAAAATAGAACATCAATTTGGTTTTAGAGCTATTGGATTCTTAGTTTTCGTATATATCATTTGTATTCATTATCGTATGCTTGCTTTTTGACAGGTACAACGACCATGTTGTATGGAACAATAGAACTATCAATCTTAAACTGCTGAAGAAGGGAGTTCTCACGCACATCTACACTCCCATGGTAAGCTCAACATCACTAGTTGGAAAAGAAGACTGCTGAACAAGAGTGTTGGTGATCTTATTTAGTTCTTTTCTCGTGCACATATGTTCAGACAATCATTCAAAGTTTGAGGGAGTCTGGTCTATTTGCATCTGTTATTGCTTCCGCCCAAGGATCCACCGAGAGGCGCAATTCCTTTGCAAGTACTGGATCTCTATTGCTTCGGACAAGAAAGTTCGGTAGACATAAAATGTATCAGACCAATATCAAATCTCAGGCAAAGGAATCCTACAGTTTGTACAAAGCAGCAGTCCCGAGACTCTCTTCCCCGTTGCTTTACAACCGAAGCATGATGATTGATTGATACATTTACGTTTCTCGACAAGAGGAGAATCTGGAGTTGTATTTAATTTATTGTTTCTCCAGACGGCATGAGAGAAGCAGGGGCAGACTTTTATAGGGGTTGGGAATGGAACATGATATGTATAGGAATGTGTCTTAGTCAATCAAATTTTTGTTTTTCTGTAGACTGCAGCCCCTTTCCTGAATGCATGTGCAAATTTACTAATGCTGCTAGATTATAATGTACTCTATGTTGTCTTGATGCAGCTATTCAACGAGGAAGTGACGTGAAAGAAATTTGAATAACATGCTTGTCTAGCCAAATAAGAGGTAACAGGTTGAGTGGCAAGGAATACAGGGCTTGTTTACAGCGCAGGCGATTCGCCGGAAATGCATACTTAATTGACGGCACTTCAAAATGAAGGCTACGAAAAATCATCATCTGCTGGTCATCTGGAAGTCAGGCTTGTCTTGACGAACATCCTCGAATAGTGACAGTTCAAGTTAGTTCGGTTCATCAATCAGATTTCTGTTCACAAAGTAAGCTTACTTGGGTTGCCCCATGGTGGGAATTCTTGCGGAGCATTTTGAAGGCCAATTCAAATCAGTATATTTGATGCTTAAAGACCGCCATGGAGATTTTGCATAACAAAAGTTTATTTACATCGATTCTTTCTTAAATGCCGAAAATTACATAGATACATTCATAGATAACCAATTCATTTCCCTGCAGGATTTGCATGGCTTCCATTTTGGTAGCACATCCCTCGGAGTCGAAGTTCCTTGGTGCTCATGGTTGATTTTATAGGACCCGGCATACTTTTCAGGCGTGGAGATCTTTGCGTGGACAAGTTTACATGATTCCCAACCCAACTGCTGCTTGTGAGCTCGCTATTGATCGAAGATATAGGGGACAGCTTATGCTTGTAAGGGGAGGCAATCTCTGAGCAGACATCGAAGGTAAGTGGTCTCAGCCTAGGCGAGCTCAACGATCTAGTTTTCGCTCTGGCAGACTCGGTGGCAGCCATGTATGCAGGAATTGCTGGCGAGCCAGAGCCCGTGGCGAACAACCCCTCCTCGCCTATGGACCGCTGCTTCCTGTGATGGTACACTCTTCTCGGGATATTATAGCCAGGAGAATCCGACATCTCTGCTTGACAGTGCTTTTGCAGGGGTCTTAAGTTCGGTAATTTTCTGCCGCCATGTGATTCTTCTCTGCCGATACTTGAATTGGCTGACAATGTTCTGTCCAGGTTCCTCAGCTTGCTGCCTTTCTCCAGCTGGGCGTCGACCCACTGCTCTAACCAATATCGCCGTCTACCATATGCTCTGTCGCGTTCAGTTTCTGCTGATCTCTGGAAACATATGGACAGATAACCATGTTACTTAAATGCATGCAAAGACTTTGAAGGGGAAACAGAACTATTCGATCAAGAATCGAACCCTATGGCTCAAATAGTATTCTCTGATCCTTTCCCTCTTTATGGAAGCCTCTCTTTTAGTCATGAAATGAGCCTTCGCCTCCTCCTTTGTAAGTGTACTATCATCCCACCTTTTTTGGCTGTTTAAATCCATCTACAATTTCAGTACAATTTTCAGTGAGTGATCATGTTTTAGTCAGTTTTGAGTATGAAAATTCTAGAACAATCTAGCAGCTTCTGGAAACTACAAAAAGAAAAAGCTTGTGCCAAATTTTGCTCCTCCACAGATTGAGTTTCTTGACAGATGTCTGTTTCTTGCAATTGCCTTTTTTTTTTTTTTTTGTGGCTTTGATTAGTATTTAAGATTAGCTGTCATACCTTGATGTCCTTTTCTCTAAGATCATGTGATTTGTCTCTGATTCTTTCACTTCTCTTTGAGCAAACTTCTGTCTGAATGTTGACAATTGATTGCAGACACTTGAGGGTGTTTATTGCCTGCTGCCGCACTGCCCAGCCGCGGATCAGCGCTTGCAGCTTCACTACTCCTTTCAATGCCCGCAGTGCCTTCCTCGCCTGAATTAATGTAAGAACAATACACACAACAACATTAGCATTATATGCTATATATATATATGTATAAATAATAACATGCTAATATGAAAGATGACGGCTGACTCACTAGAAAGCCACGGAAAGCTGCTTGAATTTTGATGGCAGCCAAATTCCAGAGATGCTGGCTGTTGCTTCTATTGCATGCTCGATGCCTAGCCTTGTGGGAATCCTCAATCCGCGAGGCTGTGGCTGCTGGTATTGGAGAAGCAGCCACAGCATCTTTAGTTGGTTCTGCTGTTTCCCATTGCAGCCGGTCCTTAGCCGTGGACAGCTCCTTCATCTTTAGTAGTCGGAATGCCCATCGCTGCTGCTGCTGCCGCTTGCGATCCTTCTTCGGAACATCGACACAAAATTCAGGTAATAGGGTTAGCTTTTTGAATCAGTAAACTTGTAGTTTTAGTCCTATAAGTGGATTTCATTGTTATTTTAGTTTGGTAAGAAAGCAGTTTGATTTTAACACAATAAATATTCGGAAAGACTCTGAATTTGATATGCCCCTTGATGGAAAGTGCCAATCTTTGGTACTTTTTTTCTGTAGGCAGAATACTATAATTGGACATTTGGAATAGTTAATGGTTTAAAATCAATATTACTAAAATAATAGTAGTAATTAGGAATATATATGTGGATATATGGTTTTGATGTTGAGTAGACTGAGTAGTAGCTACCTTATGTGATTCAGAGACGAAGAGCCTCTTGAGAAAGGTGAACCACGTCTTCTTCTTGGCCATAGCCATAGCGATGAGAGTAGAGAGATCAGAGCATGATTGAGGGAGGAGAAGAGTGAGAAATTGGAGGGGGTTCTTTATGAGCGAGAGAGAAGAATCAGTAGATCAATAATAATAATAATTCCAGCAGGTCCATGATGGAGTGGCGTGTGTTGGGCCCGGCCCCATAAAAGAAAGAGGAGGAGGAGGTGGTGGAGGATTCACACTCTCTCGCTCATCATTCTCTCTTTCTCTCTGTATCTTTTACTCATAAGCCATAACCTGTGGAGTGGAGGGAAATGCAAGCAAAGCATGCATGCATAATACAAGCAGGTACTGAATGAGTATATATATATATATATGTATATATATGATAGATGCATTTTATATTCATCCATAAATTGATTATCTTTTACATATATAGCATAAAAGAATCTACAGGTTTTATGGGACCGTAGCTAATTTGTGAGGGATAGAGAGAGAAAAGGCACCCCCACACAACACATGGCGGTAGGAGCCCCCCACGAAGTGAAATTTCAGTAACATTACATGATCAATACGAAAGTGATACTAAATTAAAGGGCTATGTTGCACTTTCTCACTCTACTGCCTTTTCCATGCATCTATCTACACACACACACACACATATATATATATATATAGAGAGAGAGAGAGAGAGTCTGACTGTGTGTATATGCCTTTCTTGCTAACTTTCATTTACAGTCTTACTTTTTGAGATTGCCCTTTTTATTTATTGAGAGTGGTATACATGTGGTGGTGTTTGGGAATGGATGAGTTGTGTGTGTGGAGATATGATGTGTGTGATTGATTGATGAGGTGGAGATGAGAGAATGAGAATGAGAGAGAGAGAGAGAGAGAGAGAGAGAGAGAGAGAGAGAGAGAGAGAGAGAGAGAGAGAGAGAGAGAGAGAGAGAGAGAGAGAGAGAGAGAGAGAGAGAGAGAGAGAGAGAGAGAGAGAGAGAGAGAGAGAGAGAGAGAGAGAGTGAGTGTAGAGAAAATTACATAGAGACATAGTGATAGATACATACACAATAAGGGGAGGGAGGCACTAGGCAGGGAGCAGCCTTTGGTTGAGAAAACAGCTGTAAGAGGGCCCTTTAATTTGGTGTGTTTTAGCATTTTGCAGATCCAACTTGTGTCATTGTGTAACTATGTTGTCTTGTCTATTTACTAACTAATAATCACACTCATTCGCTCACTCACTATTATTTTACAAATTATTACCACACCACACCACATTGACATGACATTGCTTCATAGATTATTTGTTAACAGGGCCCTGTTAGAGAGCGAAATAAGTATCCCAGAACGAAGAAATATGGACGGACTTAAGGTTGCCTTTGTAAGTTTGGGTTTCTTTGTCTTTAAATAATTATTATATACTTTTATATTTGGATTTTTATTTTTTATTTAATGGGTCTTTATTATTGCTTAATCTATTTAACTAGGATTAGGATTTAGTTTAAATAGGATTAGGATTTTGTTGTTCATTCATTCATCTGGAAAATTTAGGAACAGACGTGGTGCTGCTTTTGGGCAAATAAAAATCTTGTGTGATTATTCTTGACCTATAGAAGAATTGAGAGCAAAAGGGCTATGCTTTAGGTGTGAGAAACCATTTCCGTCTGGTCACGATTGCCCTTTACAACAACTGCCGGTGTTGGAATACAAATATGGATAGAAGCTGAGCATGTTCATAATTTGAATCAATACATGTTAAGAAAAAACAGATAGCTCCAAATTCTTTCCCGACGTCGATCGAATAAAAAATATAGTGGAGAAGCAGGTTTCAGTATGCTATGGACGAAAATAATTTTCTAGAAATTTTTTGAAATGCGATAAGTTTTTTCTATTTTTTATCTATTGCAAAAATAACATATGGACGAATTTTTATTACATCATATGTCTATCAATATCATGTTCTAAAATATATGCATCATAATCATATTAGTCATTCAGTGTATTAATAGGTATACACAAAATTATTGAATCAATGACTGAATCAGTAACTGAAGACTTCCAGTAGTACAATGAGATGCATTAAGTTTATCTGAATTGTGAAGCCCAATCGTTGTGTGCGAATAATATATAGCCTGAAAAAGAAAATAAAATGGTTTGCATTATTTTGATGGGAAGATTTTAGATCTTATTATTTTTTTAAAAAATTATATAAGTATTCAATTAAAAACGATAAGTTTTGTAACAAGATTTAATCGATTGCTTAGTGAAATTATATCTGAAACCAATAATGTAAGGAGCATAATCATACCTTATTCAAATTTAAAATTGTTGAATTATACTCATTTGTAACATTCTAAAATTATAGAGAGTTGAAACGGTCTCCAAATAAAATCCTTTTATTATTTTAATGCCTAAAAAACACAGAATATTTATCAATATTCGCGTTGAGCGACATCATAATATTATATTCCGTAAACCATAGTATATTACTATAAACAATATATGTTATAACATCGTATATAATTTGATTATCTAAGTAACGACTATTAGATCAATGCATCTTTTTTGAATTCCAACGATGCGTACATGCTATATTGTAAATATGTGCATATTGAGAGTTTTTTGTGAAAAAACAAATGCAAAAAAGCAAGGAAAAAAATAAAAATGATCCTCATCATGCCAAATACATTCACTATTGCTCAATAAAGAGAGGTATAAACATCATATGTTATAATATTGTATATCATCTGATTCTCCAGGTGACGACTGACGACTATTGGACCGATGCATATTTTTTGAATTCCGATGATGCGTACAGATCATATTGTAGATATACGCATAGACAAAAAGTGATATTCATCATATGCAATACAGTCACTATTCCACCATTGGAGGATTCGTCAACTGCGGAGGTATAAATAGAAGGAGAATAGACGGCGGACGCCGAAAATGTGTTTGACGGTGGCAGGCGCGGCCAAAGATGTCGGCGGCATCGATCGTCAATTGGAAGTATATATAGAAGGGAAATCGAGAGCGAAAACAACTAATGTATTTGACGGCGGTGGGCCGGCCAGGGATGTCGCCATCGACGGTCGTCAATTGTGGAGGTGTAGATAGATGGGTAATCAAGGGCGAATGGGGCTAGCGTGTTTGATAGCGGTAAGCATAGATATATCGTCGTCGTTGGTGATGGCAGAACGCGTGGTCGAATAAGACAGTGCAATCAAAGAAGGAAGAGAGAATGTGCTTGATAATATTTGGACTTGGTAAATAAATTGGAGTTGGAGAGGATCAAAGGAATAATATTTATATATAATTGATTTTAATTTTATTTAAAAAATTGTTATATCATAATGTAACTCTCTAAATAGTATATATATACATTTTCGTGTATCAATTGTATATAGTATTTGTAATAAGGGGATAAATATTGAATTAATTTTTATTATGAAATATGGAAAACATTTATATAAGTATTGTGTTCTATAAATACAGGATTAGAATAAGGGGATTAATTTTATTTTTTTCAAAAAATTATTTGCGTTAATTGAGGTTATATTTGATTGATTAGAGAATATTGTATTTTAGGAAAATAAAGTTAAAATTATCTCGTCATAATAATAAATAATTCGCATGTTAAAAAGATACATCATAATGTATGTATTTGAACATCATTTTAGAAAAGTACATATAAAATGTATTTTTGTAATAAAACAGAATATGTAAAGTATTTATTTGCAAACGTTTCTATATTTAATTTGGATTGAATTTCCGAATATATAGGAAGTAGTTAACATAACTGATTTTTTTTTTTAAAATAAAAAATCATTGAATTATTTATTGAACACTCAAAACATCCTCAATTAAATTTAACCCTTGGATTGCCAATAAAAATTGATCGAATTGTTGAAATAAAATAAGAATGCTCCTGAACTTTATATAATATAAGGAGGATATCAGTATTTTGAATATATACTTTGAATAGAAAATATTTTTTTGGTTTAAAAATTTAAGCAAAAAATTAGGTATAAATTGGTGATCCTCTTAAAAATGCGAAAGTAAATTTAAAAATATAAGTAATATTATGATATTATTATAGAATTAATCAATAAAAATATTAATTATTTTTACAGTTGCTATTTTATATATATTGTATAAATATATATGCATATAATATACTAAAGTAGATATATATATAATATATAATTATATATGTGAATGTGTCGAGTCTAGTTTGAAGGATATTAGGTTCAGCCGGAAGTTTAACCCGTGTGCACTTCCGGTAGCGGCTGCGATTTCTCACGTTATAAAAAAAATTAAAAAAATAAATATATATGTTAATATGAAAAAAATATATATATGTTAATATGTATATATTGATGTACATAATCGCGCACACATATATAAGTATATATTTAGGATAAAAAAATGCAGAGAGAATGTATTTAAGAGATAGGAAGTGAGAGAGTAAAATTTGGGATGGGTAATTTTATTTACTTTAGTTTGGAATATTTATAGATACAAGAGGGTCAAAAGTTGTGGACTATATATACTATATATATATATATATGTGTGTGTGTTGATTGTTCATGCATCCACACCATGTATGATTATACCACTTTGTGAAGACGTATGCTACAATACTCCTAATTTGATAATTCCTTTCAAACACCGTACAATATTTCTTTTTTTTGGTATGTCCCAAACATCCTGCAACATTTTCAAAATAGAAAATAATTAATTATACTTAATCTCTATCTCACACTTTATCCCATCACATCACCCAAATAAAAAAAATAAAATATACATTTCTCTCTCCATCACATCACCTAATTTCTAAATTATCTACTTAATACTACCCACCTAAAAACCCGTGCCCAAAACAAATGTTGCACTTTATTTGAGACGGAGGGAGTATTTTAATACAAAGAATGTGTATCGTTAAAATTTTATTAGTAAAATATTTTTTGTAAAAAAAATTTTAGTGAAAGAAAAATAGTACAATATTTTTTTTGTTTATTTGCTCGTCCTGATCTAAGCATTATTTGAGATGTCTTAATCGATGCATTCCAATTTTCTTTACTAATTTTCAAGTGTTAGAGTCAGTAATGCTTTGATTAATATATTCGCTAAAGTACTATTTGATCGAATTTACTTGACATCAATTTCACTATTCTATCAAAGATTATGAGTGAAAACGAATTTTGGTGAAATATATTTTGTTTTATCTCCTTTAATGTAATCTTTTTCAATTATAAGCCGTATTATTTTCATATAATGTCGTTGAGGGAAATTTATCATCATATATTAACTAGCAAATTTTCAGAATATGTTTGAGTCATTGACTTCAATCAAACACATTTATAAAAGAGCTTATATTAATTATCTCATAAGAATAATATCAGTTGTAAAATATCTTTAAACATTATTTAGGTTTTCGAGGATCGAGTGAAAAACTCTGTCAATATAATAATGGTAATTTTTTGGATAATTGAAATGGTTGCAGAATTTAATATAATAATGCAAGATCATATTAGACGTATTCAAAATAATGAAATTCATTATCTTAGCCACAAAATTCAAAATGAATTAATTTTTTTTATTAGCTTGCAGGTTAGAAATTCTATTATAAAAATTATTAAAGAATCAAAATACTTTTCAATAATTTTTTATTATACCATGGATATTAGTCATCACGAACAAGTGACATTAATTGTAAGATGTATAAATGTGTCAAGTAGTAATATTAAGATAGAATAATACTTTTTACAATTTTTAAAAGTAGATGATACAAACGGTTTAGAACTTTTTAATGA